TCGTGAGTGGCGCTGAGTGGAAATGGAGTGGGGAGCGGAACTGCTGTTGCGCTAATAGTGTTTTCTCTTGTAGAAGCAAGCAGAGTTGTGTGATTTTACCAGCAACTATGAGCGGTTTTCTCAAAGGCAGGGCGTTCCTATTTTTTCTCGCTCCCTGGTCGCTCGATCGGGGTTTCTTTTACAGGTAGCGTGAAATAGAAAACCCGGAGTGGATCAGTAGCCGAGCGGTTACGGAACACTTGGAGCGGGGGCGGGGAATCCCTGTGGCTCCACTCCAGTCAAGTATGGTGCTCCAGAACACCTTTTAGTCTTTGAGTTTCTTGGTTACAAATTAAATGGGTTTTTTTGTTTGTTTGTTTGTTTTTTCATCTTTTCGAGCTGTTTTTGGGTACAAACTAAATGTTTTGTCGTCTTTACGAACTGTTTCGTTGACGAAAAGAACAATTTCATAAGAACAATTTCACAGACCAAGTCATGTTTACAATCAATATAGTGGACAAGTGAACAATATAACCATTTCCGATCCGCTAAAAGTTATGTTGAGAAAAAGGTCATAAGATATAAATGCGATACACAAGGACTAAAATCCACAGTGAAATGAAATGCTGCATGTGGTTGGGTGCTGAAACTCCGAAAATTCATCAAATCGAGTAGAAATGACAGTCATTATTTGTAAATATTGTTTAATTGATATAAACAAACATGTATTTGAAACATAACTTACACTGTATTTGACAGTGACTGGCTGTATTCTCGAGTCTCTGAAGCATCTCTCGCATCTTGCGTGAGCATGTTTCTCTCCACATCTCTCAGTGTTCCTCCTCACAGTAACTCTGGCTCGAGTCACTGCAGGGGAGGACAGGAGGTTTCACTGCATTGGTAGGCTACCGGCATGACATTATAGGATGGGAACCATATAATTCAGCTCCCTCAGCAGGTTAAGTTTTATATCCGAACTTGACTGACATGGTTCGGACTGAACCGTATAAAGGGCATCAGTCCAGTAGTTCTCAGGCCACTGAACTAAAACCCGGAGCCGGGTGGATGTTATAGGCACTGTGGATTTTAGTCCTTGCGTATCGTATATTTGTCTTGAAGATCTTTTTTCTCAACATTTTTGTCGTAGAGGACATATAGCCTAGACTTTGTGTTGTTACAGTTGGACTGCACATTACAGCAGGTGAGTCTTGTTTATATGGGAGCATTTTTATACTTTTAGACATATTTTTTTTTCATTGAAAATAATTACTTTCTTTGCGTTTGAAACTATGCTTGAAAGACTTTCACAGTTTTCACAGATGTCTTCATTTTGTTAGGCTGCTGTGCAGTTGAACGCTTTTAAAGAACTATGCACTCACTAAAAGTGTTTGGAATGTCAATCTAATATGATTGATGAATTTTAGCTTGAACATATTTTGAATGCAAAATTGCACATAAATGTCAGTTTGAAGCATAGTGTATCAGTTCATTGATATTGACTTATTTAAAAATCTCCATTTACTTTTGGCTTTGACTTAAGCGCTGTTTATGTATTTTTTACTCAGAGATGTGTATTATAAATGAAAGTTCTGACTGTTTTGATTTTATCTGAACTTTTACATGGCTGGCTTAAATATGTCCACAGCTGTTGAATTAGCCTATACACTTTGCTCCTTTTAAAGATGATGTCAAATCTCCTTAAAATTTTATAATTGAGATACATAAAATAGTTAAAGGGTCTATTATTAATCTCTTATTAAGATTGGTCTGTCATGTAATAACAAGGAATGTGGAAACATAGGAAAACCCAAAACCACCTTTTGTTGAAGTATTGTTACATTGAATAATATATTTGTATTATTATCCCCTTTTTCACACATTTGCCTGATAATAAACTGTAATTGTATTTTATTTATTATTTATTTATTTATTATGATTATTATTTATTTATTATTATTTTTGCCATTTTTGATTCGGTCTTATTGCCCAACTGAGCTTTTTTTTCACTCTATATAAAACATTTTTGTAAAGGCATGCGGTACGTTTCATTGGACTATCTAAGAAATATTTGAGAATAAATGGGTTTATAAGCTTTTATGTTTTTAAATAATTGTATGTGTATTTTAAAGGAGTTATGATACTCAGGAGAAATTTCTACTTGCTGCCTTTGCTGTTACTGTACATCAGAGCACTACCTCAAGGTAAATCCATGATCCACCTGTTACTAAATTGTTTAGAAATAATTAGGATTTAACTTCATTCTTCTGTTGCCATTGATGTTTCATGCACATATCTAATTCTGAATTCGAGATGTCCGTATTACAGAATTTGCCCATTATTCTCTATGCCTCCAAACACATCTGTGTTTGATTCATTAACAGAATCTCTATGTGGCATTCAATGCAAAACAGCTTTCGAATAGTTTTGATCTGAGATTATGTAATATTTTCCTGAAAATCTTTTAATGGGCTTACCTAATCATCACATAACATCTCTCTTGTATTCTCACATAATCATCTGTACTATGCTGAAATGCTTATGTTGACTCATTCAAAGATGGCCATGTGGAAGATGAATCCATCTTCGACCTTTTCAAAATCAGCAGCATCAGCAGAAAGACGATTGGTGCCAAGCTCTTCAAGGGCCACGACTGGGACTCTGCATACCGCTTCATCCGCTTTGATCACATCCCTGCTGTGAGCACCCCGGCCCTCCATCAGATCCTAAAGCAGGTCCAGAACAATGAGGGCTTTGTGTTTGTGGCCACCATACGACAAGACAAGGGCTCCAGGGGAACCCTGATTGGTCTGGAGGGTCCCAGTGGGAGCCGTCAGTTTGAGATTGTGTCCAATGGGCGCGCAAACACACTGGATCTGGTCTACATGGTTGAGGGATCTCAGAATGTGCTGTCCTTTGAGGATGTGGACTTGTCTGATTCACAGTGGAAGAACATTACTCTGTACGTTCATGGAGAGAACGCTAACCTTTACGTAGGATGTAGCCTCATTGACAGCGTGATCCTGGATGAGCCTTTCTATGAGCATCTTCAGCCGGAGGGCAGTCAGATGTTTGTGGCCAAGGGATCTATCCGGGAAAACCACTTCAGGGTAAGACCAGTTCTTCTCCATGAACATCATCTGTACTTCATTCCATGCTTGTTATGGAATTCCTGCATAATGATTTTCTGTGCTGTGAAATAGGGAAGAAATTTTTTTTTCCAAGTGTCTGAAAGAGAAATTCTATACCGTTTTAAAAATAGAATGAGAAAATTATATCTCTATCTATAATCAAATATAATATGTATTATTTTATAATAAAAAAAAAATTTCTTAGGAACCATGTCCTTGATTAATATGGACTATTGCTTAGATATGCTACATGTGGTAATTTAAATCTGATTGAAGAAAATTATCATACATTTCCTAAATTTTACATTGTAATTGACTTGTTATAATCTCTGTCATTTTACAGGGCTTACTACAGAATGTGCAGTTCCTTTTTGACACACCTATAGAGAACATCCTGAGAAACAAAGGTTGTGAGATCGCCAAACCTGGTAAGAATTCATTCAGAACTGGAATTATTTTTTGTGTTAGACTGGTACTTCAGGGGTCAGATTAGGCTCTTATAATGCATGGACTTCTGAATGTTCTAGGTTTCAGGAGCTCTATTGGATTCATTCTGTGCAGTTCATGATCAAATTTGTTTTAAGAGGGTTGGTATGTTTTCAGTTGGATTCAGTTTTCATTTTAAGCTTTTCTGGCTTTCACCTAAGTGGGTCACGAAATCTGCAGATCAGAGCTGTGGAAATTTCTGACCGTATTACATCATGTTTACGGGAAATGCTTGTGTTAGTGTGGTGGTATAAGGGTCGACCAGTTTGCACATGCCATAAAGAGGATAAATATTGTCACATTAATATACATTGGCAGGGTGTTCATACTTCAAGAGAAGGTGGAAAAATGGAATAAGTACATACTCATAATTTTATACACACACTTGGTAAGATCATAGACTGGCTGGTTTGACTGACTGTTCCCTAAAGCATTGGTTTCCAGGGCTCAAAAGTAAGGATGGCCCACTGGTCCAAAGAGAGTTTCGGGCCAGTTTATGAAATAGTCACTTGCCCTTTGTGAGTGAGTGCTGCATTGCCACTGACAATCTTACTTTTTTTGTTCCTGTACATCTGTTTTTATACCTTGCAAACTGCTTCGGAAACATTTGGTTCTTTCCCCAAAAAAACAAGTAAAATTTAATGAACAATATAAATAAAAAAAAATCTACCAATGTTCTTTTTTCATTTCTTTTTTTTTTTAAAGATGAACAAAGTAGCACAAATCTGAAAAGATAATTTTTGCATTCAAACATTACAGAAGTGAAAAATGATTGATGATTTGATGTTGCAAATGTCAACATTACAAGCACAAATCATAAGCACAAGACAAGTAAATTACATGTAGATCAAAAGTTACCTGAGGACACTTTAATTCTGCATGGTGGTCAACCAGAAATGTCAACTGGGTTATATAGAAATAAATTACATTTAAAAATATATTGAAATAGAAAACAGTTATTATAAATTGTAATATAATATTTCACAGTGTTATTGTTTTTACTCTATTTTTGATCAAATAAATGCAGAGTTGGTGAGCATAAGAGACTCCTTTCAAAAACTTGCTTTTAAAATCTTACTGAACCCAAACTTTTGAACGGTAGTGTACATGGAAATCCTTAAGAAGTGCGAAGTTCTTCATCATTTCTCACAGGTTAACATTAGAGATCAACCAAAGCATGGCAATTTGATAGCAGAAAGCGCAAAGCTATTTCCCAGGTCAAAATCATCCCAGATTTCCTGGGGCAGAGCTTCCTGTAGGGTCAAGGACATAAATCCCCTGCTATATAGAAACGTGTTCATTTCATTTGTTTAACTCACCTCTATTTATCTACATATGGAAGACACTGACAGAAGTATTGCCTCCTCTTGACCGTTCGTCTATCTGTCTTGCTGTGCATCTGTCGGTTAGACTGAGGAGAACACCGTGATGAAGGAGGTGCTGGGGAACATGAAGAACATCAAAGACAAGCGCATGTGCTGGCAAGACGGCCGTCTCTTTGAGGATAAGGAGGACTGGGTTGTGGACAGCTGCACTAAATGTACCTGTCAGGTAGGAAGAACTGTGACTATTGATGAATGGAAAAGAAAGAGCGAATGACAGTCTGCTTTTCTTCTGACTCTTTATGCTGTCTGGTTTTATGTTGCAGGAATCAAAGATTGTATGCCATCAGATCACATGTCCTCCAGTATCCTGTGCCAGCCCAACTTTCCTGGATGGTGAATGCTGTCCAGTGTGTCTGCGTGAGTAACGATTCTGACACATTGCTGATACTTGGGATGAAAAAAAATTCAGTTCAATTAAATTAATATTTCATAATATTGCTGTTTTGCTGTATTTTGATCAAATAAATGCAGCCTTGGTGAGCATAAGAGGCTTCTTTCAAAAACTAACTAAAAAATGTTTAAAAATCTTACCAACCAAACTTTTGAACGGAAGCTCATACAGGCCAGCTTTGCAGAGGAACTTTTCTCTAATTTTTGTTTTCTTTAATAGTACAGAACTGTTATTGTTTTAAAACTGCCTATGTTTGCCAACCACACATTTTTATTATCCCTGAGTAACAACCATTACTATATGTTCCCATGCTCTGAAGTGGGTTAAGAAAAATGATGTCATGTATAACTTAAGCTCCAAAACATCAGAGGCAAAGAACAATGTTGCCTTTGCTCTTCAAATATACTAGCAACAAGGAGCACCATGATGGGTGTGCTGGGGTTAGAACGAGGTGAATTGTGCCTGAAGTTACAAGTGCTAAATGTGCTTGTGCATTTATATGTGTATAGCTAAAGATAGCGAGGATGGCTGGTCTCCTTGGTCTGAATGGACAGAGTGTACCATCACATGTGGAACGGGTACCCAGCAAAGAGGCAGGTCATGTGATGCCACAAGTAACCCCTGCAGTGGTCCCTCCATCCAAACCCGCAGATGCAACTTGGGAAAATGCGACAGTCGTGGTGAGACAGCCAGTCTTTGTTTGCACACTTTCTTTGAACACCTGTTCTTTGGTCATGTAGAGGCATTTTGGACACAATTTTCCTGTCTGTTTTGTCCATAAAGTCTAAAACCTTGGAAGAAAACCACATAACAGCGGTTTGAGTGGTATTGGATTAAATCCTGTTGCTCGTGGCCTTAAGAAATGTGGTAGGCCACCCTATAACTGCAAGTGCACAGTTTGTTATCTCACTGATTTGTTTCAGGAGGATCAGCGCATCAGAGATAATTGTAAAAGTAAAATTAATGCAATCATCTGTAACGTCTCCACAGTCCAGAGTGAAAGGGTTTGTGTTCTAAACCAAGAGAGATCTGAAATGCAGCTGTCACAATATCTAAACAGCTGTTAAAAATAATGGAAATGGAAGAAAAAGAATCAGTTCACCAAGACTCTGGTTCTCGGTTTTGTTTCAGCCAAAATCACTAAATCTTTATGGGAAAAAATACTTATTTTGGCTGCTGTTTTTGTTGTTTTTAATTGGTTATGAGGTTTTGAAGGAATAGTTCATCCAAAAATGAAAATTTGGTGATTTACTTATGTTGCTTCATACTTGTATAACTTTTTCATGAAAAATAAATGGAGAATGTACTGCTTGCTCTTAATGCAATTACAATGAGTGAGGTCTGATGCTTTTAAGCTTAAAAATGATGCAAAAGCATTATAAAAGTGTCCCAGACAATGCTGAGTGGTGCGAAAAGCACATTTAGTTTTATCCGAAACAGATGAATGTGAATCTGGAAATGTAATATGTTGGTTGTTGAACATATCATGGCAGTTTGGAATTGAAATTAAATTCTGGAAAGGAACCGCATAAAAAAATAAGGCTTTATACATCGATAATCCGCGCCTGTCATCAAAATAATGTATAGGTACTTTTTTGGTGTTTGTATTATTGGACGTTTTCTGAAACCATACAATATCTTTGTATGCGGACTTCAAAACACATTGATTATAGTGCATCAATCATATGGATCACTTTTATTATTCTTGTTTTATGGTGCTTTTGTGTCCTTTATGAAGGTTGAAAGGTTCAGTCTCTACTTACTGTAATGACATGGAAAAGAGCAACCGGTACAATTTATCAAATTTTCATCTTACATGTTCTTCAAAAGAAATACCTTCATATGAGTTTGGAACAACATAAGAAAATACTGAGTGAATTTTCATTTTTGTGTCAACCTTTAAAGTGGGTCATATCAACCAAAAATCATCAACTACTATAACTGCAGAATTCCCTGCCAACCATTTGCATTGGCAGTAGGCTGAACAACACTCAAGCGGTAAGCAGTAATCCTTCTATGGCTAGCACCCACTTACCTAGATTTCATCAAATTAATTATTACTACTGATTCAATGTTACATCACTCAGTTGATGTTCATCAGCCAAACTGTGATTTCAAGCCATTCCATTCCCTTGCAGAATGTGACATGATACTGACCTAATTTTGTGGAATTTCGATAAATCTGTAACAACATGGGTGTTTTCTTTCATCATCTGTTGTAAATATTTATGAAGCATGTGCTAATATATAAGCTCCTTTCCATCAGCGAAGGAACGAGCTGGTATTCATCACTTATGCTCAGTGAGGTTTTAATGAGCGGCATATGGCTCTTTGTGGTGTACCAGTGCTAACTCTGGCTTATGGCGGACTCAAATGTTTTTTTTTATAACTGACCAATGTTACCAGCTGGTATCTTGGACAGCAATGAACAAACTGGCCTTTGTTACAATTACCGCTCAACAATATCTATAAGTATTCAGACATTAAGATTTTTTAGATTTATATAAAAAGAATCACAGTCTCTCTCCTCCTAATGTTGTCAGTTAGTATATTCAGACCCATGTGGTTGTGGGAAAAGAATATAGCTGACAGTGTGTCAGGAGGCACACTTAATGCTCATTGTGTCACCACTGGCCTGAATACACCATCAAGTCTTTCCCATGCTGAATCCCAAAAGAGGATGAGGTGATTGGTCCAAAATTGTGGGCTAGGTGGTCATCGCTTCATCAAGTTTATTGGCAGTCCCCCCCTGTTTCATTCCTGGACTTCATACCTCTGGACTTACTAATATAAATTAAAGATGTCATTGTTTGTGTGGATTTGTTTGCTGCTTTAACGCTGCTTTCAATTCATGTCAGAATAAGATGAGTGCACATAAATGCCTCCACAATTTTGTTTTAGCCCCAACTTTCCATTGGCAGTTTGGGTTCAGTCATATTTAAGTTTTACTTACCGGAAAACACAAAAAATAAACTAATTTTAATAATATATTCAAGCAAAGCTTTATGCATATCTATTATTTGTTCTTTGCTTTACATTTTGTTGAATTAGGGGTAAACAAATGCCTTAACTTTGCCATTAAAGTGTAAAAGAGAAGAGAGCATTATGTACACTACCTTTAAAAAGTACATCATACTGTAGTTACAACTTCCAAACTCAAGAGCAGGATCATCCACAAGGACTCAAAGGCAGCATATGCCATTGTTTTTGATGACCATGCCAGGTCTCTGCCTTTCATTATAGTCCGTCAAGATGGTGGTTGGAGTTTGTGGTCCCCCTGGTCGTCATGCTCTGTGACGTGTGGAGAGGGACAGATCACGCGAATTCGCCACTGTAACTCCCCCGTCCCTCAGCTGGGAGGAAAGGACTGTGAGGGCAGCGGGAGAGAGACGAAAAAATGTGAAGCCAAACCCTGTCCGAGTGAGTGCTGGGAGCCCCGGCTTCTTATTTATGTATTAAACTTAGTCTTGAGAAATGAAGCTAAGACTATTTTAGATCGATTTGTATAGTGTGATCTTGGAATACAACAGTTTACATGGATAATTTGTCTCCGTAAACTCAGTTTTATATTCAAATTTTAACTGTACTCTCTTCTTCTTATAGTTGATGGAGCCTGGGGCCCATGGTCTCCTTGGGCAATCTGCTCCGCTACCTGTGGGGGAGGAACAAGGACACGAACACGCGTGTGTAACAGCCCTCGTCCACAGTATGGCGGCAAGAAATGCCCAGGAGAGTCCAAGGACAATGATTCCTGCAACAAACAGGACTGCCCTGTTGGTATGTTACCTTCCAATATTTTAATTTATTTCTCACTCCACACATATTCTCTCTCATTGACTGTGTTCGGCTATATATCTATGGGACCATAATGTGGATGCCCCTGCCCTCTTGTCCCCATTGCTGAGCCATTACAATAAAGCGGAAAGCTGAATTAGCATCAGTAAGTTTTTTTTTAAAGAAATGAATACTTTTATTCAGCAAGGAAGTATTAAATTAAGCAAAAGTAATTATAAAGACGTCTATAATGTTACAAAAGGTTTCTATTGCAAAATAAATTTAGATCTTTCTATTCATCAAAATAGAAAAAAAACGGTATCACAAAGATATCTAGCAGCACAACAACACTGATAGTAATAAGAAATGTTTCTTGAGCAACAAATCAGCATATTAGAATGATTTCTGAAAGATCGTGTGGCACTGAAGACTGGAGTAATGGCTGCTGAAATTCAGCTTTGCCATCTCAGAAATAAATAACATTTTAACTATTTAGAAAATATAGAAAATATTTATTTTAAATTGTAATAATATTTCACAATATTACTGTTTTTACTGCATTTTTGATCAAATAAATGCAGCCTTAGTTAGCATAAGAGACTTCTTTGAAAAACCTTTTAACGGTTGCATACATGTGAAATTCATCTTATCAGTGGGTTCTGTTATTTAAAGACCTCTATAGACTGACACATCATGCATAATGTCTCTAGTTTCATCTTGAGATTTATGAAATGCATATCAATTTCATGAGTAAACTTAAAGCCTCTCCCTTTTTATTCCCTGCTTCTTTAGATGGTTGTCTATCTAACCCGTGCTTCGGGGGTGTTGACTGCACCAGCTCCCCTGACGGCTCGTGGGAGTGTGGGCCGTGCCCTGTCGGTTTCCGTGGCAATGGAACATTCTGTGAGGATGTGAATGAGGTACAAAGGGAAAAGAGCTGGAGCTGGGAAAAGTATAATGTAGTTAGGGCTGTGTGACAAGCAATTGTTATACTGCATTACTCACAATTCAACACGGAAAGCATAGCCAAACAAAAATGTTTCTCCAGCCCTTGCTCTATAGATAGACTAATTTGAACCCAACAAATCCCAATAAATGTGAACATTATTGAAAAATGCTTTTTAAAACATGTTTCCTAACATTCCTGTTTGCTTCTCCTGTCCTATAGTGTGACATGGTGCCTGATCTTTGTTTTAAAAACGGTGAATCTCTGCGCTGTGTCAACACAGACCCAGGATTCCACTGCTTGCCTTGCCCTCCTCGATACAAAGGCAATCAGCCCTTTGGAATGGGAGTGGAGGCTGCCAAGCTAAATAAACAGGTTAGTTATGCAGTCTATGGACAGATTGGATCAATTATTGCACAAGTATATAAATGTGTCATTACCCTGGATGAAAACTGGAAAGCACATGATATATTCTGTTTGTTTTCTGAGTATTTTATGTTAAATAATCCATACTTTACTATTATTTTGGAATCGACTGTATTATGTACATCTGCCACTTCATGCCTTCTAAACAAAATTAACTGGTTGCTTGCTTAGCTTGTCAGTCAGGTGGTCTCTTCTGGTCTAATTATACAATTCTTTCCCAGAAATGACTGTGGACCAGGCATTATGTTGTTTGTATGTATGCTAAAGATTAGATGTCAAATTTTGCACAAGTTTCTCTAGAGTGATAGTCCGAGTAGAAAGTGTGTTCTCAGACATTTTAGACAAAGCATGTCTTCTAAATGAAAAAAATCTTTTGGGCCCATAATGGTGGCCAAGCATATGGATCTTGCTCTAATTCTTCCATTCCTCACGGATGAATACATTTTGTAGATTTCTTGGAAAGCTGACTCATTTGCTTTTTTTGTCCAAAAGTTTCATAACGTCCACAACTAATAGGCTTGTCACCAACCTCCAGCTTGCATTGCTTTGATCCAGCGCCCAAGAGTAGTAAATTGACAAAGGGCTGAAAGGAATTGTCTCAGATTTTATAGCTGCGATCCAATCGCTTTTTAAATAAGCTGCCCGGTTGTGCACAGCTGAAACCAACAAAATAGTAGGAAATTATCAATAGAAAGTATTTTAAGAGCCTCACAACATAATTCCCAGTTGTCTCACCAGGGTATGAACCAGTTCTTTCACCTTAATTGGACTGCTATTGAGCGTTGCTGAAGTCGATTAATTTTTATTTTATTTTATTTTTCAGGAGTGTGAGCAAGAAAACCCCTGCAAAGACAAGACTCACAACTGCCACAGGTCCGCTGAGTGTATCTTCCTTGGCCACTTCAGTGACCCCATGTTTAAATGCGAGTGTAAGATCGGCTATGCTGGGGACGGCCTCATCTGCGGCGAGGACTCTGACCTTGATGGCTGGCCCAATCAGAACCTGGTGTGTGGAGCCAACCAGTCCTATCACTGTAAAAAGGTAATAGAGTTATTGTCTTTTCTGGCTACAAGACATACCCCCGGTTTCACAGACAAGGCTTAAGCTAGTCCCAGACTAAAATGCATGTTTGAGCTGTCTCAACTGAAAATATCTTGCTCTGACATATCTTAAAATATGTCCGTGTCATTGTTCTGTGTCAAGATGCACACCTGTAATGTTTTCTTCTAAGGCATTTTTGTAAAAGTTGCTTAAATATCTTAATTTAACTAAGGCCTAGTCCTGGCTTAAGTTAAGCCCCGTTTGTGAAACCGGGTCATAATTTTTTATAACTGTGACTTAATTGACTAAAAATTTAACCAATTAATCGCAAAGGTTTCTGAAAATAATTGAAATGCTCTTATGCTCACCAATGCTGCATTTATTTGATCCAAAATACAGTAAAAACAGTAATATGCTGGAAATATTATTACAGTTTAGAATAACTCTATTTTAATATACTTTAAAATATAAATTTTCCTGTGATGGCAAAGCTGAATTTTCAGCATCATTACTCCAGACTTCAGTGTCACATGATCTTTCAAAAATCATTCTAATATGCTGATTTGGTGCTCAACAAACATTTCTTATTATTATCAGTGTTGAAAAGGTTGTGTTACTTAATGTTTTTTGTTTAGACCATATTGCATTTATTTTCAGGATTCTTTAATGAATAGAAAGTTCAGCATTTATTTGAAATAGAAATCATTATAAATGTCTTTACTGTCACTTTTGATCAATTTAATGCTCCCTTGCTGAACAAAAGTATTAATTTATTTTAAAAAATCATACTTATTGCAAACTTCAGTGTATAATTGCACATTGAATCCCCAAGTTAATTAATATAGAAGAAGAATATTTTAAATAGTCTACTGGCTTAGTTCATAGACAAAAGAAAAAAAAGATGCTACATCAGTTGCATTCATTTTAACACATTAAAGAGTCCACATTTAATTTTAAATGTACGTGTTAATTTTCCCAACTAAGGAAAATAATTTTTTCCCTATTCCTGTGCAGGACAATTGTCCCAACCTTCCAAACTCAGGCCAAGAGGACTTTGACAAAGATGGTCAAGGAGACGCCTGTGACAAAGACGACGATAATGATGGAATAATGGATGAGGAGGTAGGCAGACTTCTTCAGCCATGTTTTTTTTATTTTTTTTTTAAACTAAGCTTGTTTTTTTCTCCTGTGCCCCAGGACAACTGTCCTCTACTGTACAATCCCAGGCAGTTTGACTACGATAAAGATCTTGTCGGTGATCGTTGTGATAACTGTCCATATGAGCACAACCCCGCTCAGATCGACACAGACGGTAATGGCGAGGGAGATGCCTGCTCTGTGGACATTGATGGAGATGGTGAGAAACTACCACATGCATTCCCACAATTACTAAGTCAACTTGTTTATACACTCAACAAGCTTGGGATTCTGTCATGGTTAGATCCAGGCTGGGTTTAAACCCAAGTGCGCTTTTTAATGTAAACTAAAAGCAATGCAAATGCCTCACCACAGTCAGTTGCAGATTTTTTGTATTTCCAGATGGTTAACAGGTCCATTCAGCTCAGTGTAATGCTATTGCTTGCTTGTGTTGCAGAGGTTCTGAATGAGCATGATAACTGCCCTTACATGTACAATACTGACCAGAAGGACACAGACATGGATGGAGTGGGTGACCAGTGTGATAACTGTCCTCTGCTGCACAACCCTGACCAGGTACAACAGGCTCAACTCTTTCCAGTAAACACACACTCAAAAACACAAATGTACACAAGAAGGAATGTTTTGCTGCAGTTTAACAAAGTAATTTGTATGCTTCAACAGACTGACTCAGATAATGACCGAGTTGGTGACAAGTGCGACAACAATCAGGACATTGATGAGGATGGCCAGCAGAACAGCCTGGATAACTGTCCCTACATTGCCAATGCCAACCAGGCCGACCATGACAAAGATGGGAAAGGAGATGCTTGCGATTTTGATGACGATAATGACGGGATCCCTGATGACAAGGACAACTGCAGACTGGTGCCCAACAAAGATCAACTAGACTCTGATGGTGAGTGAATCTATTGCTTAAAATAACTAGTGTTTGTCTGCATTTCTACTGACTGTGAAAAGAAAAGTTAACACATGGATGCACAAACAATAACAGTTATAGAAATGCGTGTAGAAATGCAACAGTGGCAGTAATTTGTCATTTTTTGCTCAAAGACGGCCAGCTTTACAAAACTTTAAAGGAGCCAGTCGTCTTTAATATGTTCATTTTTATCCAAGTTTTTTTTGGCCACATTTTTCCCCTTTGCATCCTTTGAGATTTAGACATATTTACAACTGGAAAACTTCCTTTAGTGTAGCCAGGGTCAAGGAAAATGATGTCACACTCTCACAGCTTGCATGTGGTTTCTGAAGGGTGCGTGTGGTTTACCCCAGTGTGCTGCATTTTGTTAAGACTACCTTATTTTTTGTGTTGGTGGGAAAATGGAAACAGGTTACAGTTGGAGGTCGAAGTTGTCAGGTGCTAGCATATTTCTCACACCTCATTATATTTGTTTATTTAATAGTGTCAAGATGGTTCCAAAGCGAGAAAGTCAACTACTGTAAAAACAGACACATTAGCAAGGAGCTGGCAGCCTACTTGCCTTTCCCCCGTTTATTTGAGTGCTAAAGTCTGGATTTAATAGATTTCACATTTGAAGCCAGTCATATGTTAATGTATATGACATGAAAAGACAGCTGAGATTGCTTTGTGCTTAAAGAAGAGAGCTGGGATACCTGATGAAACTTTCTACTTCTTTTTTATACAATATTTCTCCTTTTGGTGTAGTACTGACAATTGTATTACCCACAATACCCAAAAATATAGTACAATATAATACATTTTAGCTCATTTATATTAATGTTTCAATTAATTTAAAATAAATATTAAAATAAAAAATGTAATAATAAATATTATAAAAAATTGTTATTGAAATAAAAACAGTAATAATTATTAACAAAGAAAGAAATAATAAATTATATTACATGTAATAGTATATACTATAGTATAATAAAATAATATAAAACATTTTAGCTCATTTATACTAATATTCAAATTATAAAAAATTTTAAATTGATAATAAATATTCTAATAAATAATTATAATAAAACCAGTAATAATTATTAACTAATAAATATATAATATAATAAATATAATTATAATATTAATATAATTAATATTATTATACAATAATATAATAAAATATAATATAATATAATCACACTAAATTGTGGGTAGGACTATAATAATAATAATAATTACATTTTTAATGACTGTTGCATCACATTTTTTTAGAATGTGTATTATTCATTTACATTTTTATAAATCTAAATATTAATATAAATGAAGCATTATTATATCATATTGTATTATATTGTCTTTTACTTCATTTATATTATTTATTATTTAAAAAGTGAATTTATAATAATAATAATAATAATGGCTATTAATGACTATTAATGACTAATAATAATAATAATGTGCATATGTTTTTGGTTGCTAAAAAGTGAGGATGGCAGATTTAACTATTTTAACAGATCAATGATGAACTAATCTAACTTTATCCACAGGGGATGGAAGAGGCGATATCTGCAAAGATGATTTTGACAATGACAACATTCCAGACATTTTGGATGTGTGTCCTGAGAACGACGCCATCAGTAACACTGACTTCCGGAAGTTTCAGATGGTGCATTTGGACCCCAAAGGAACTACACAAATTGATCCCAACTGGGTGGTCAGACATCAGGGCAAAGAGTTGGTTCAGACTGCCAATTCTGACCCTGGTATTGCTGTGGGTGAGTATGTGAGCTGCCAGGGTAGCCCGTCTGGTCATGATTTTTACTTCTATTTTTACTTTGTCATTGAGTAAATGAGACCTCAACGTTTTAATAATCACTCTTCAGGTTTCGATGAGTTCAACGCTGTGGATTTCAGTGGCACTTTCTACGTCAACACTGACAGAGATGACGATTATGCTGGGTTTGTGTTTGGCTATCAGTCCAGCAGTCGATTTTATGTGGTAATGTGGAAGCAGATAACTCAGACGTACTGGGAAGTTAATCCTTCAAAAGCATTTGGCATCTCTGGAGTTTCTCTGAAAGTGGTCAACTCTACCACGGGCACAGGGGAGCACCTGCGTAATGCCCTGTGGCACACTGGTGACACTCCTGGACAGGTGAGGCTGACCGCTCAGCAAATACAACATCTGTTAGCGTTCAAGAGAAGCTTTGCTCAAACTAATTGCTGCATGTGGTCTGGCAGGCCCGCACTCTGTGGCACGATCCTAAGAATATCGGCTGGAAGGATTACACTGCGTACAGGTGGCATCTCATCCACAGACCCAAGACAGGATTCATCAGGTGATTAACAGGAAGGCCTTTAACTGCCATGGGAATCTTATAAAGTGTGTAGAGTTAACAGGTCTATATTCCTTTTTTCCAGAGTGGTGGTTTATGAGGGGAAACAGATCATGGCAGACTCGGGGCCGGTTTATGATAAATCCTTTGCAGGAGGGAGATTAGGACTGTTCGTGTTTTCCCAAGAACTGGTTTACTTCTCTGATCTCAAGTACGAGTGTCGAGGTGAGTAGTTCGTCATAACAGAATGTGGCTGTTTATTTAAATTAACACACTATTCTCAGTGTAAACACATTTTAGTTCATTTATATTCATATTCAAATTAATTAAAAAGTAAAATGTTAAAATAAAATAATTATATTATAATGCATAAAATAAAAAATATGAATCAAATAATTATTAAAATGAAAACATTAATAATTATTAGAATAATATATAATTCATGTTTTAATAAATATTTTTAAAAATGTGTTATTCATTTAACTTTTTAATCAATTTAAATATTAATGTAAATGAAGTAAAAATATTATATTACATTGTATTGTATGCGTACAGCTGATTGTTAGTGAACATTTTGAGATTACTTATTTAGTAGAGATGGGAATTGATTTTATTTTTATTATTAATTTATTTTAAGACATTTTGAATGTTATAATTATTAGTATTATGTTATGTGTTAAAATATTGTATAGCTTAACGGAAAAGAAAAGCAAAGCCAAAACTTTCACTTTTTACAAGAAACTTTTTCTGCTTTTTAGATAACTGAGAAAGAGAAGAAATGACTCCCTTAAAAGACTATAGCACAACAACACATTTTAACACTCTCTGACAAAACACTAAAGACTTTGGTGGACTACAAATATAAAACAGGCTCCAAACCTCCTCCTGAGGAGAAAGACTTAACTTAAATGACAAGCACATTTAATCAATGTTTTTGTGTCCGTGAGTCAGTATTTGTTAGCCAAAGTTTTTTGTAATGTTAATTGAACATTACATATGTGGTATTTCTTTACAAAATGAAGGAAAAACAATCACAAAACTTCATCCTCTGGCATTTTTATCACCAACTGCTTTACTTGCACAAAATTTTTTTACTTGCTATTGTTACAATGTGCAGAATTTTTTCTCCTTTGGATTTGTTGTTGTAATGGAGACATCTTTTTCTACAACCCTCAATTCTAACAGGGGCTTTGGGTTTGATCAGCATATATGTTTTAGAGACCTTTGAGATGAAGATGTTTATATTAAGACTGTATCATAATTACTTGTGTAAAGTATTTATATGACTCTTGCAATTCAGTATCAAATTATGTCTTTTTTTTTTGCAATGCTTTCAGAACCTAGACGTTGTATATACTAATTTATTTGCTTACACTGACAAAATTTGACTATTGCAGAAATAAAGATTAAAAAAAGTAAATTTTTATTGCTGCACTTCCAGACATCCATAATGCAATTTCATGTCTATGTAATTTTTTTTTAATGTTTTTCATATGTGAGAATGAGTTTTTGTCCTGTGATGCCACACTGCATGTGTTACATTTAACACAAATTTGCTTGTCTTGAACCACTTTTTCCTTTAGTTTCTTATGTTTTGTCTGTTTACTAAAGAAACTGTCATGGAGAACACAATACGTAACAGGACAAACAGTTCTGTTTGTATCAGAGAAACAGAGACTCTCATACATAAGAGATTGTCATTCATCGTCCAGATCTTTTAAACCTGAACATTCATCCGTTTTGTCTTTCTTTTGCTTGTTAAATGTTTTTATTTTCATAACTATTTTTAATATTTTGTAAAAAGTGCAATGCCTTTGATTTTTATGCCACATCCCCAGAAAACCTTGTAACGTTTTCTAATATTGTTATTCTCGCAGTTGTCACAGGTTTTTTCTTTAATAAAAGGTTTAGACACAGTTTTTCATTTGGACTGGTGTTTTGGAGTAGCTCCAAATACTAAAATGGTATGTATGATTGCTTTTAAAGATGTCTATCAGATCATTTATGTGGCTGCCATAAACCCTGCATCATGTCTTTCCTTAATCGCTAAACAACTTTTAACTGTTTTAACTCTTTAACATGGGCCTATATTCACTTATCTCCAAAGTTCACTTGAATATAGATCAGTACATGTGATTTTATGCCTTGGTAAAGCATGTACAGCCATTAGTTCAATGATGACATGAATATTATCTCTTTAACAAGTATTTTGTATAAAAATAGTGCCACATGGATGACATACAGTATTTTTGTATGCCAAAACCCAGAAACGACTTAGCATTTTAGCACTTCCGGTTCCATCTTCCTGAAGTAAGTGGGTTTTTTGAATGGGTTTTTAATTGAAATAAGGTCTGTGGTTAACACAACTCAGTCTTCACATTTTATTCTGCAACATAAAATATATTAGTAATACCCCACTGAGATTTTTTTTAAAGCTTTGAACTGTCTTGTAAAAGGTGGTTGCTACCAAGGGGCTAAATGTTCTACAGAGACTGTCGGGGACATTAAACATCAGGAAAACTCATCGTACTAGTCAACTCTTACAGCTCCACTGTGTTTATAATCACTATCTTACTAACTCAAACTTTCAGGTAAAGTATTTTATAAAAGAGCTGTCTGAAGCTAAGTGATGGTGACGTTCAAGTCATGCAACGGTAATGTAGTTCATTTATAGCCTACATTTCCCTTTTTACGCGAATGACTTTAGACTTTAAAACTAATTAAAATGTTGTGTTCTTTTGTGAAGGTGAGCCAGATCAAGAATATCACAATCCTATTAGTACAGAAATGGCCAAAACAGGGCCCATGATGGCATTTGATTTGGTCTGGAGGGAAAAATATGAAGAAAAAAAAATGCCATGTTTGTCAGGGGTGGTAAAGGAAGAGGAATCAGTTGCAGGGATAACAAGGATTTTAATGAGATTCAAAACAAACAGGAATTAAGCCACTGTCCGAGAGGGTAATCTGGAGAGATCCCAACCAGGTCCGGGGAAGGGAAAGTCAGCTCAACAGCAGGTATCTAGGAAAAGGGGGTTGCCAGAGCAAATGGCCGCAAGTAACAGTCCACGAGCAACGAGACAGTCCAGCCCTCCAATTCCAGTGGCCAGAGAATGGCAATGGTGGGAGGGAGAGGGAAAGGAACTCCAGGAGGGTGCAGGGAACGCTGGGCAGCAAGGGGAAGGGGGCAGGAGGCAGACAGAAGGGAGTCCAGCAGCCAGGGCAGATGGGGGGCTGGAGAGGGCAGAGGGGAAGGGAAAAAACTAACACAAAACTAAATGGCTGGAGCTAAAACTAGGAACTAGAAATAACTGGGCTGGATCAAAAGAAAACCCCTATTATCAAAAGTAAAATAAAAGCTAAGGAAACTAGGCTAGACGAAACAGGATAACAGTCAACAGCGACAAGAGCCAGGTTAACTCAGCAGAGCAGAGATTTCAATATGGCACAGGACAGAAAACAAGAGGGGAATATAAGGGTGACTACTGAAACAGGTGTACCCCTAACGAGATAAGATAACGAGAGGGGCGGGGTAACAATAGACAATAGAGCACATGGCAACATAATTACCAACTGACAGACATGTGTTTCATACAGACCAGGACACAACATAAACAAACCCAGATCATACCGGCGCCTTGACAATGTTCATTTCTAATTTTGTTTTAATATTTTTGTTTTATTTTTGCACTGAAATGTAAAAAACAATGTTTTTTTAAATGTTTATTTAATACATTTTAATATAATATACTTTGACATTAACCAACATTTGCTTTTGGACCATGGCCCTCAATCGAGTTTCATTTTTTGCTCTTTGTATTAGTACAAGTAGTACTGTACATTTAAATACTTTGCATATTTACACACAATAATACACAATTAAACACTGACTGTTGTATCAACAATATGATGATATTCTAGCAATGATTTCCCACATTCGCTTTTCACATTTTTTTTAAAAACCAACAAGGTTTTAAGTGGCAGTAGGGGGTGACTAACGGAAAGCATTTGAAATCACATTTGATGCCAAAATATTCCACTGATACCCAAAGACTACAAATAAAGAGCACTGTTGTGCAAACATCCCACAATAGCATATGAGAACCTTGTTGAAAAAGTTTAATTTGCAATGAAATGACAAAAGCCAGGCATTATCCAGCTACATCCTTTCCCATGGATTACACTGTAGTTGCATGTGCTAGGCATTTGTAAACGTCATCACAAATTTTGAACCCTTCTGCTTACATTTTAAAGGTTCCATGTCTTTTGTGATCTCCACCAGACACACTTTTAAAGTCCGCTTCAAAACACAAACTGACATTTGGGACTTGCAGCTGCTTTAGTGTTGAAGCCAAGATACTATTGATATGTTGTAAATGCGGTTAGGCCGAAGAGACATAAATATGCACAGTTTAACAAGCCAGCAACTGGCTTTAAGAGATAAACAAGTTAAAAGACTACTGTCATTTCCAACTACTGCTGTTAAAACCAATTGAAGAGGCATCAGGCCAGGATCTTTAATTACACCAGTGTTCAAAAGTAAAAGTCTTTAACAGTACCTGGGTTCCCTCATGGACCTTAAGTGAGACCAGGTTCTTTTCCAGAAACAACTGTTCTTTTACAAAACAACTTCCAACATATGGTAGAAATTAAGGGTTGCATTTTAAATCTTCCTCTTGCACTCATTTCACATGTTCAGTTCTATAATCCTAATTCTCATTCAGTTTGCAGCCTTGTTAATGTGTTTAGCACTACAGTAAAATGCATTGGATAGAAGACCTGCACCATATGTTGCTTTCTATGAGCAATAATCCACAGGTGGGCCTCATTTGCTAAACATTAAGGTAAATTCTTCTTTAACTGGACCTGACTGTGAACTTTCTCAGTGACTGATGTTAAGTTAGGAAGTGCTGTCAACCAAATAGTATAAATGTTAACAAGTGTGGCCGAGCATCAGGCAACCATAACTTGTCAGAGCCAGTTTTCCATGGAAACAGAAACAATTAAATGATTGCAAGTTTCTGCAAGGGAACAGATGAAGCCAGATGAAGATAAAATTATATATCATATCATATTCTTTTATTTAGCATTGTCCTTTGGAAGCTACAGAAGATACATGTTTCTGAGAAGATCAAAGTACAATTTACCCTAGTAAAACAATTGATTTGTTTGTGTACCATGTTTGGCAAATAGCCAAGTAAGCAGGATAATTATCGCAATTATTGCTAAATAAACCCCAGCAGGATGAGCTGGACATCGGCACAGAGCTGAATTGTCCCTTACATGCTTTATATAGGCTGTCATTTGCATACAAAGATGTGATGGATGGTAACTTGTGTCTGACAGCCAGTTATAGCTGATTAATTTTTCACAGGCAATGTCTTATTGGCTCTGGATCTGTTTTGTAAGCCTGCACTCTCTCTAGTATGGCTGTCAATAAATACAGCTGTCAGATGATATATTCACACTTCTGCTTCCCTTCAGCGCATTTCTGCATTGTGATGTAGGACTGAAAAGTTAAGATATAGGTCTGTGCTGATTTGCAGAAAAAAAAACACTACATTGTGCTACCATTGAAATATAAAATGTTTTTCCGTAAGCCATAGAAACCGTCTTGATATGATGCAAGCCAAGTTCTTCAGTATGTCTTTACAGTTTTAATGGCTGAAAGGGCATTTCATTATGACTTACAACAGGATGGGTAAATATTGTGTCTATGCTTGACATTGCTGGTTGAGTTTCAGTTTACCGTCAGAAATATTTGCTTGTCTGGTTGCAGGGTTCAGAGAGCTGCTCAAACAGCACAGGTCGGAGTGGCAAGGGTGTTTCTAGTGTTCTGGAGAATCACATGTCAATGTGAAAACATAAAGTAGTTTTCATTAGACCTGGTCGGAAGTTCAGCATCCTGGAAGGCAAGTGGAAAAAGGCTTTGAGCTCCTTGAACATAAACCAGCTCCTTGATGATTCACTCGTGACTGCTTGAGTTAACTGCTGAAAGCTCTGCTGTAGCTTCTCGGTTACATAAAGCTTGAGAGTTTATCTTTGACATTCAGGTTTGTACATGGACTCGGGGTGCTGAAACGTCTTGTACTGACTCCACTCAACCTTTGACCTTATCAGGTTCACAGTGAGTACAGCCCAGTTAAAATTCTAATAATGAATCAATGAATAGCAGGTCATGCGCTGTGGAAAGAACAGAACTCCAAAGATGTTAATAAATTAATAAATCCAAAGGTGTGGCATGCCAAATCCCTCATTTTTCCAGAACTTAATGATTCTCCAACTGCTGAGGGTGTGTACCTTTACAGCACAGAAGCCAGAACTCCCACTGTGCCTAAACCGCAGCTTTATATATGAACTGCTGCTAGACACAATTTTGTGAGTCCCCCACTGTCTGCTGTTGCCATTTAAGCATTAAATATCTTTTATACTCTTATATCTAATGGCTGGCGATATATGGTTGGTTCACTTTATAATTCAAGCTGAATCAATCCACTGTCTGAAGGATAGATAGATAGATAGATAGATAGATAGATAGATAGATAGATAGATAGATAGATAGATAGATAGATAGATAGATAGAGGACACTGAATAAAGAACTTCAGTGGTTGCAGATGGATGAATGAAACAAAACTGCACTCATGTACAACTCACAAGGGAAATAACTAGTAAATTGCCCGAATATGTTACAGTATCATCTGTACAATGGTGACCTCTACTGGAAGATATTCCCCTGTTACCACTTTTAATAGGTAAATGTGTTACTACATATAAAGGAAAAATAAAATATATAGATTTTATTTCAATAGAAATGTCACTCCTCTTTGTGATGAAAACAAATCTGCAGAATTGTATAGCTACTGTAGATCTAAATGTACAGTCCAGTCACATGTGTATGCACAGGCTCCCTGTAATAAACCTGCTGACATTTTGAGGGGATTTTTGAGACGCTCTTGTTTACAGATCTCATGGACTGAGCTCTTGAGTAATCACACTTTGGCGGAGATGTCACTAAATATATCTGATCATAATGGCTGCGCAATCGTGACAGAGTAATTTAGGGCTCCTGCTTACTAACAACATGGCTAACTGGCCGACCCAGAATCATAAATAGATTTCCCCACAGTATACATGTTTTCTTGTCTAGTATTAGAAGTGTCAACTGTGCAATGTATTTAATTTTATAATCCAGACTAATTTACGAATCCTACTATGATAAAGGTTTGAGTTTTAAAATGAATGACCAATGCTTTTGGAGGGGCACTGCTCATCAGCATAACCTCGTTAATATTCATGAGGTCACAATGCGATTTCATTTAAGTTTCATACTTTAAAAAATCTTAGTTCATATTTAAAATGTTAATTATAAGAAATGTTTTGAAATAAATTAAATTAAAACTACATTTAAACTGCTACTAACAATACGAAAAATTCCACTGATTGCAAAAAAAAACCTAGCTAGAAATGAACGTGTTCAAATGAACAACTAGTCAGTAGGCTACTATAGATTTAAGTTTCACGGACAAACATAACGCAGTAACAAATGATACATACATTTACTTGATGCGGTTCAGTGAATGAGTCAGATAACTGAGTGCTTTTGATTCCCTAAAATACACCATACAGCTCTAATATCACATTCTTTGCTGTTTTTATGCCAAACAAACAGGGTGAATTCTGTGTAATAATGTTTTGATTATATGTAAGCTTTATTTACACAGATGTATTTATTAATGTTGCCCCAAGTTTTATTGTCTTTTAAAAAAGATTAGAATTATTTTAAATGATTATATACACTGTTGTGAATATTTTTAAAGGCAGGGTATGTGATTTTTCAAAAACACTTTAGAAAACTGATTCGGGCCAATAGCAAAACAAACTTGTAGCCAATCAGCAATAAGGGGCGTGTCTACTCGTGATGTGGAGGAGAGAGCGTTCAGTGCACAGGATGGACATTAGCCTAGCAGCAACAGAAAGATAGAGATGGCGGATAAAAAACAAAAGAGGAAAACATCTGCGGAACGATAAGGCAAGAAGTAGGACACGTGTAAACATCGGATCAGCTTTCCAGCGCTGAAGAGAACTCAAGGAGCGGAGGCCTGCGATCGGACGCCGAGGTTGCTTTGTTTCTTCTCGATAGGTGAGTAACACCGTGTCTACAACAGCTAAAGTCTGCCTACACTGGATGCGATCAAACGACCGCTGAAAACCATTTGAAATTTGTGTCAGCACGTCATAAATAGAACCCGGCAGCAGTTTTCTGTCGGGGATTTGTTGCGCCGCCGCTCGCGTCCGGTGTAGACACGGTGTAACATTGGTTTTGCTTTGTTTCACAGAACTTGTTGCCTGAGTTGCGTACGTATATGTGGGGCGGAGCTATCAAAATAGGGGCGAGACCCTTTTGGGGTTGGGGCGTGTTTGTTTTGGTGATTTCAAATATCAACATTGGCTACCAGAAATCGCTTACCCTGCCTTTAATTTAATTTTTAAATTTTTTTTTTGGTACAAAAGGATGGTTCTGAATTATGAGTCATGGACTGATCCTTCGTCATAGTAAATTTTATTCTTTCCTTGTCGGTGTCAAATCTCAATAAACTGTTCCTGGATTGGTTATTTTGGACATGGTTAGGTGGAAGTGACGCAAGGGGAGGAGGGTGGAGTTGCGGCATGTGTGTTTGGCTAGTTACAGCTGAATGGAGACGGATACATGGTGCGCTCGGATAGAAATACGATGCGTGACAGCAAGCGGGTCTGCTTAAAAGAAGTCATCATTATCCTGTAGAGTTCAGAAACGACACGAGCGATGACAGTGCGCGTCTTCCAACAAGAAAATACCACGACTCTGTTATGGTTTTGACATTTATAGTAGTTTTCTAATTTGTAATTTACTTATTTTACAATCCCTGAAGCTCATCACTGTTTGGAATATTTTTCTTCATGACTATCTCTAATATAATCGAAGTGGAGGAGCCACATTTGGGGGACTGTAATATGAAAAAAGAAGCAACCGAATTATTAGGGTTTGTTCCGCAAAAAAATATTGTTTACAACGAACTTCTGCCTTACAAGGACAAACTAGATGAAGAGTCCAATGAATTTTTGGCGCAGATCAAAGGAAACCTCGGCAGAGCCGTCCAACTCCGAGAGATATGGCCAGGTGTCTTGTTTTGGACGAGGAAACTTTCCACGTAAGTATTTAAGAGGCATTAACTCATCCAACATTATACAGGACTCATCCGGATAGTTTTGTCTGCCAACGAAATTAAATTATGGGGTTGTTCCTATGAGCATTTAAATCATGAATACATTCTCTTAATCCTAATATCATGAGAACAGGCAGCTCTATTTAGAGTCACAGGAACACCGAATGACCCTTTTGTATTTAGGGGCTAAAGCAGACAATGGTAAAAACATCCCCAATGCGCTTTAAATAGAGCGCTAATCGGGAGTGCGCTGACTGCTGTTGCGCATGCGTAGTCACTAACTTTGTTTCACTTGCGTCTTTGTTCAAATAAACTTTACAGAATGTTCCGTTGGAACGCTTAAAAGAGTGTGTGATATTTTAACTGCGTATTGTATAAAACTCCTATTACCCCGAGTTGTTTGGTTTCTTATTTTTTTATGAACCAGTGCTGACAAATACAAGTAGCTTTGGCACCATGATTATGTTATAGTGTTTGGTGAGTTGTGTGGTATCATCAAATATGGAGTTATTGGTTTGAGTCTTCAGGAATTGATTGGTGTTTAACAAGCCAAATATTTTGTCAGTGATTGCAAAATGACTTGGTCATGTTTTCGCCACTCAATGCTATTTTAAGAGTACAACAAGTACAAACAGTCACTGATGTCAGACTGCGTGTGACTATGAGATGCAATACTCTGTAAACAGTAAACATGCACTGAAATATTGTCCTCAATGTCATCCAAGACATTTGCGTAATCATATACATTCCTCTCTGAATGTATTAATGAATCCTCTTGTGTTGTATCTCTCCAGGTTGTCTTCCTTTTTAGTAAGCCCAGAATGCAAGCTATGTCCATGTTTGGAGATGTCCCAGTGTTTGTGTTGGGACTTGTCTCTGTGTGCCCTTGGGTGTTTAGGACATGGCTTTTTTTATCTCTGCCATTCCAGAGAATATCCCAACAAAACCCTCTTGGCAAGCCATTGGCATTTCCAGTCCAAGCACGGAAGCTGTGGTATCCTGGTCTGACCTAAATTATCTGATTGTGTCTGGTCAGCCATGAGTCAACTTCCTTTTCATTGGAAAGCAAGCTTTGGTAGCTTGACCTAAATCTTCTAATTAAAGTGATATACTTGGGTATCACATGTTGCTTTTATGTCTTCACCTTTCAACATGAAGCAACTGAAAACACATCCAAATGGAAATCCTTTGTAGGGCAACTTAAATTTGTTCTTCTTTTTCTCTTTTTTATTCATAAATTCACATTATTGATGGCATGATGTATCATAACTACACCAATCAACCAGAATTTCATGAACTGGAAGCTCAGGGTCAGAACAATAACACTGTCAGTTATAGAATAGACAACTGCCATACAAGTTGTTAAAGGGTGCTGAAATGTCTTGTACTGACTAACTGTTAAAGGGGTCATATGATGCTTTTTTAAAGATCATTATTTTGTGTATTTGGTGTAACAGAATATGTTGACATGCTTTAATGTTCAAAAAACACATTATTTTTCAAATACTGTACATTATTGTAGGTCCTCTATGCCCCGCCTCTCTCAAACGCTTCATTTTCTACAAAGTCCCTCCTTCCAACAAGCGCAGTCTGCTCTGATTGGCCAGCTGACCCAGTGCATTGTGATTGACTGAACACTGCAAGCCCTCATCGGAAATGTACCCTTTCCATAATTGCGAACTTCATCTTTCAAAATAAATGTAAAGACAGAGCCCGAAAGGGGAACAGACCCGCGTGACAGACACAGTGATGAAGCTGGTATGTGTTTGCAGTACACAAGCCACTGTTAAGACAGCTGACTCCACTTTGATGTGATGCTCTTTCTCTCTCTCTCGCTCTCTCAGACGCACACGCCGCACACACACACACACACACACACGATGCGCAAAACTCCACATTTGAACAGTCAATAGCAAATACTTAAACTAATATCAAAACAGTAGCTGATTCAGAAGCGCCAGATTGTCATAGCAAAGTCAGAATTACCTCTTCTCCTAGGTTCACGAAACGGTCGTCCATAAAATGCATTGCTGTTCTGTTTTAAGTAATCTTAAAGATTCCTAAATGCATCTACTTTCGGAAGGCCAAATAAAGTGCTTTTGCTTTCGCCTAGAAACACACAGCGTCTCCCTGACATGGCTGCTTCAACACTACTGCGGTTACTGAAACCACGCCTTCTTTCTTTGCGTGAACATTTGGGCGGCATTATGCAAATATTTCCACATAGTGAGGTAGATATGTGGGGGCGTGTTAGAACAAGCCGTTTTAGGGGGGCGTGGCAGAGTCTTAACTTTGATAAAGAATATCTCTTTGGTTTTGAGACTTTAGTCTTTGCAACTTCAGGGATCTTATCTATGCACAATCAGCTTGTAACACTCCAAAGAGAAAGGAAAACTTGAAATCGCATCATATGACCCCTTTAATATCAGAGCGTGATGCAAAATAGTTTGAATAAAGTGTTACATTTTAATACTAAAGAACTATCCGTTCTTGTCCTTCAGGTATATGCGACTGTATGGAAGGAAGTTCAGCAAAGAGGAACATGTGCACTTTGTCAAGCTGCTGTACGAGCTGGTCACCATCCCTAAACTGGAGATCAGTATGATGCAGAGCTTCGCCCGTCTCCTCATCACCCTGCTGAAGTAAGATGGGGTGCTTCTCGATTCTTATTTGTGCTTCCTCGTTTCCTTTCCTCTCTTCCTTTCCTCACATCTTAGCTCCACCCCTTCAGGATGCGAGGGAAGGACGCAAGCAAAAGACGCGAGGATGGAGGAATTGAATCAAGTGAAATGATATTTCCTCGCTCCCTTTAGCGTCACTTCAAAGCGTCATCAGCTGCGCTAAAGGGATCTGCCCTTATGTTGTTAAAGTTTGTTATTTAAGACATTCATAATAAATATTAATAAAGCAAGATGCCCTATTTGAAATATATGATGTGTGGTTTATTTAAACTGCAAAGGTAAAATATAAATAAAAATGATTACAACAGATGTGAAGGGGGAGGAGAATTTATACGTGCGTCAGGTTTTTCGATGAAAAACACTTCTGCAAAGGATACACCTGTGTATCCTCGCTCATAGCTCCTCTGGAAGCCTCCTCACTCCTCGATCCTCGCCACCTCGCGGTGCAATTAGAGAACTGAGATGTCATTCAAGATGGCTGAGCTCGATCGGTTTCCGGGTCATAGGATGGAGGACGGAGGAACGAGGAAACGAGGAGGGATATTGAAAAGCACCCATGGACTTCCTACATGCTTCCTACATCCTACTTTTTTTATTTTTTATGATTGCAATGAACTGGCTTTCTTTGCAGAAACTAATGTACAATTAAGATGCAATAATTAAAATAAAATCTACATTGTATGTTTATTTGTGTAGCCATGTAATAATCTTCACATCACTTCAATGCAGTTATGACTGTACATTATCTCTTACAAATGGCTAATTTATTATTATCGCGGAGCGACAGAACAGCTCATGAGATTTGAATATCCACTCACACCTGTGGCGAAAAACAAACCATGTGAAGAAAATAATCTCTTTTAAATGGTTTTGCCTTCCAGGAAGAAGGAGCTGCTTTCAAGAGAGGACTTAGAATTGCCATGGCGGCCCCTTTATGAGTTGCAGGACAGGATCCTGTACTCAAAGACAGAGCACCTCAGCCTGAACTGGTTTCCCAGGTACATGCATATGCCATCAGAGACATTATAAAAAGATTGATCGATTAGAGCAAAATTGTTTTTTCAACAATATTTTAAAAATACATTTAAAAACACTATCTGTTTCTAAAGGGATCTGTTTTGCTTTATCACTTTTGCATATCTACTCAATAAAATTATCCTAATAACTTCCATCTCAGCTTCCTATTTTGAAGATTGTCACAGGAAGCATGCTCACCCCTCTTAATTCTGGGAAGCTCCACACATCATAAAACTGGTGCTGATGTTGAGCATCAAATAAAAATGTTGTTTTAGTAGATGAGAAGTGTTGAGTGAGCCTGTCTTTTTTCTCCTCTCATGTTCAGTTCTCTGCGGCCACGCTCTTCCTCTAAACACATAATCGTTAAACTTGCTCAGAGGTGGTAAGGATCATGTTACTCTGTTAATATTTAAAAGTGCACTCAATAATTTTTTCAGACTTTTCACTGGCTTTTATTTGTCCTAGTGGTGTTTGACTTAATTTGACTTTAAAACTGTTGCTATGGATGTATGACATTTTTGTTCATTAGGCACGGCCGGTGCACAACAGCAATGTCTGTTTGCCTTTTTGTTCCTTGTTGATCATCCATGTATTTTGTCCATCACATACTATACAGGGCTCTAGACTGTGACCATTTTTTGAGAATGTGTGAGTTAAAATTTGATGTGGTCGCATTAATGCGAGTACATGGTCTGCTCCGCTCCAAAGCCTCTGCTCTGCTCCATACAGCACGTGCTGCAGAGCCGCGGCATAGTGCAGCATCAGTTATGCCAACGACATGGCCTGTGCCCAATTTATAGGAGTGATAACAGACAATCTCAGAAAAAAGACGTCTGACCATCAATCATAAATGATCTATAGTTTATGATTGATGGTGATACGGACATCTTCACCAAAGAATGTGAGATTGTCTATGCCCGTGTCATTAATAATGGAAGACCTACCAATATCCTAATTGGTCATATTGACATTCAACACGCCCATGCAGAAGGTAAAGTGAGATTTCTGATTTTTGTTACCATATAACTATAAACAATGATAACTGAAAAACTATTCATCAGCATGCATTGATCAATCTCATGTTGTAGAAAAAAAAGGTGCAATCAAATCATATGCTGGTGCGACCAACTGAGAAAGTCGCACCAGTGCGACCAGTGGGAAGAATGGGTTTAGAGCCCTGCTATATACATCAATTAATTTATGTTCTTTGGTTTAATAAATTTTTTTATTTAATTAGATGACAACTGAGTGATTAAATTTTGAGCTGTTGGCATCTTTGACTTTTTGGATATTTTAAGTTTCTGTTGAAATACTCGTTATGCCAAAATGGATCCATGTCTGACTTTGCTGCTTATATGCATTTGATGTCTTTCGTATACTTTTAGATATTTTCTTTCCTGTATTATTTAAATTATAGACAATACCAAAGAGAAAAAAATTTTAAGTAGCTAATTGTCTTTTACTGCTAAATCTGTTGCTTTTCAGTTTTTACATAACAGCATAATGTAATAATAATGTAAAGCATTTATGTAATTTAGAGGTTCTGAAGTGTGTGTAAAGGAATAATAATAATGAGAATAATAGGAAAATACAATTAATATTATATATTGATTTGATATAAAACATTATATTAAAAATATAAAATTATTTTAAAATATTCATATTATATAAAATTACTGAGTGCACTTTTACCCAAGAAGATGCATGTCACATTGCACAAAAAAGTACTGACACCCCGACAGGCTGTTGGCCTCGCACTGTGCTGCTCTCACACCATTCAATAACACTCTGTTGCTCTCAGTTGCAATCACCCTGTATTGTTTGTTGTTTCTGAGTGCCGAGCGTGTTTGTAGCATCTGTTTTCCACCATGCTCTTTAATGCAGATATCTGATACTCCAGTATCCTTGTTGGCTCCTGCTACATGGGCTGCAACAGTGAATCGCTACTGAGAGATTCTTTCCTCTGAATGAGTGCAGAGGTGAAAGATAATTTTGGCCCATTTCAAAACAAAGGTCATCAGGTTCAGAGGCCCTGTCTGGGTGTCACATATCTGCAGTTTTTTGGTGACACTCACTGGCTTGTTTACATTTGTTTAGCTGTGTGATTTTTATGGTGCATGTGTTTGATGGATTTCATGCTACTGATGAATGTGATTTGATGTTTTGGTATTGAAGATCAGAATTTCGTGAAGTAACCCCTCTACTTTAGATGCACAGAATAAGGGGGTTGATAAAACTTTAAAAGGGCTGCACTGACCAGCTTTTCAGCAGCATATAGGTCACAGATGGACCATTAGAACCCAATATATGGCCATCATTTCACAGCACAGCTGTGTTCAAATAAAATGACCCCAATAAAAACTGTTCCCCAAAGGTTCCTCTACCCCTGGCTTCTTCACTGCCTTTTTGGGTGTATAACATGAAAGATTTTGTGATGCATGAGTGTGTCTTAACAACACTAGTGTGTTGGTCTTGTTCATTGTAGAATTGTTTGCATGGAATTACAATGTGCTGTTGTATCCGGTGTTGGTCACTTTCAAGTTTCTCTTCCATTTGCAGCTCAGTGGAAGCAGTTCTGAAGGCTTTAATCAAGAACTGCAGGCCGTAAGTACTTAAATATCTTCTGTTTCATGATGCCAGACATGCACTACCAATCAAAGGTTTAGGATGAGTAAGATTTTTTTTTTTTTTTTTACAAATTAATACTTTATTCAGCAAGGATGCGTTAAATTGATCAAAAGTGACAGTAAAGACATTTACATAAAAAATTTAAAATTATATATTACATTTAATTTCTTATGCAAGTATGCTTTGTGCAAGGTTATCTGTTTAATGAAAGTTTATGAAAAACAATACCAGTAAAAGGTTTGGACACACTTGACTGATTATTTATTTCTCATGATCTTAAAAAAATCTTGCTTAAATGTTTAAAATTTGCTTTGTAGATAAACATGAATTTTTGATTACTACTACTCTGCTACTTCACTACTTCTTCCTATCACTATGTTTGACTGGTAGTGTGCATAAACAGTGTGCCCTAATTGATACTCCATTTCTCCCTAAGCTGTTAATCCTGTTTAATGCTCTTTTAATTTGGCTTTGTGGGAGGTTTCTGACTCTGTGACTCAGTCTCCCAGGATCAGTGCTATCCCTTCTTTGGCAGGAGGTCAAAAAGGACATCATATCCAGCAAATTGGAATAAAAACCGTTCAATACTGAAATATATTTTTTAATGATCTTTTTAGTGAAATAGAAACAGAAAAAAAGTATGCTTGCCTTGTTTCCACTTAAACACAGAAGGGACTCTAATTCTATGGAAGATATTTAGGGTGAGGTGAGGCTGCATGTTCAAAGCTTCTCAACTCATCTACAGTAGGATTACAGAAAAGGTTGTCATGTGCCTGGCCAGTGAAGGCCATACCTTCAGTTTGTACAGATAACACACTGTTAACAGAATGCTCATGGACGGACTAGTTAGTAGATGAATGACAGGAAGTGCCGCATATGGTGTATGTCAGGATTCCTGATGTGGCTTAGACCAGCAGACTAATCCTTTAACTAAAGCACATTAACCATTTATCCAGTTACTTGTACTGCATACAGTTTACCATGACATTTAAATGGCACATCACAAAGTTTTAGTATTGTCATATCTGTGCATAACACTTAAGGTCAGATATCAGCAACAGCATTTAAAAAAAATTAAATCATTCTATGCGTGTCTGTGTGTGTATGCGTGCAGATATTTCCCAGAATCTGCCACACAGGAGATGCTGGATGAGTGGAGACCTCTGATGTGCCCGTTTGACGTGACCATGCAGAAGGCAATGGGATATTTCGGGCTCTTCCTGCCCACCACTTTTCCCCCAGAGCTGCATGATAAGGGCTTTAAGTGAGCACTGCCTGAACCTTATGACACTCCTTCAGTCTGCTTTAACTTGCACAGTCAGTCCTATTTGTTTTTGTACTAGACTTGAATGAAATTACACGTGGACACTACTGTTAAAAAACTGGAATCAGTAGAATTTTTGAAAGAAGTCTCTCGTGTTCACCAAAGATGCGTTTATTTGATCACTAGTAGAGTAAAACAGTAATATTGTGAAGTATTATTACAATTTAAAATAAATGTTTTTAGTTTTAATATATTTTAGCATGTAATTTATTTCTGTGATGGGCAAAGCTGAATTTCAAACCATTTTCAGCATTCATTTCTTTAAAATAAAAGATCATACTGACCCCAAGCTTCAAATGGTATTGTATTTATCATGAAATGCATAATTCATCATGACACATGTATGGAACAACCATGGTATATGTTAGTTTTTTATATGAAATATAATTTGAAAGTCATTCTTACAAACTAGAATAACAAGATAAAGGAAAGTTGTTGTCATAGAAATTAACTAGCATTGGAATATACCGTATATTATGTAACTGTTACACATCTGATGCAAATGATTTTTTTCCCCCAAAGTTCATGGTCTTCACTAGAATATACTTTTTTTTTTTGTGATGGCAAGTTCCAAGTATTTTGGTTTGTGTTTTTCTGCAGACTTTGGTTTGATGAGTTTATAAGCCTGTGGGTGTCAGTGCAGAACCTTCCAAGCTGGGAAGTCGTAAGTATAGTTGCCTCACTATCGAATTTGAACAGATTTCTTCTAACTCTGGTAATTCATTACATTAGTATTAACCCGATTTTGTCTGTTCCAGAATCTCGTCAGTCTTTTTGCACGACTGGCCAATGACAACATTGGTTACATAGATTGGGACCCTTATATTCCGAAGGTAATATAAGCCATTCTGATAAGCCATTTAGTCCAGAGCTGCTTCAGTATTTATGGTTATGCAGTTTGTATTCTGTCTCTGTTTTCAGATCTTCACTAGGATCTTAAGGAGTCTTAATCTTCCTGTAGGATCCAGTCAGATGCTGGTTTCCAGATATCTGACAAATGCCTATGACATCAGTCATGTGGTCATCTGGATTTCTGCTTTGCTGGTAAAATGAAGCACATATGCTTTTAATTGCTATTAAAATGCCATCAAGTTATCAAAACCGTCAGGATATGATGTAATACATTTACTTTATATTTAATAATGTATTTCAGGGAGGGCCCAGTAAGCAGACCCAGACCCAGCTCAGTGGCCTTTTCAACAGTATCACCTCGTTTTTCCACCCTTCCAACCACGGCCGCTGGCTGGTGAGTTACTGATGGAGATTTCTGATTCTGAAATCTATTAGAAATAAATACTCTATCAAATGCTAAATAGTACATGAAGTATAAATCTTCTATTAGAATATTTGTAAGTATAAACAAATGATTATTAACATAAACCGTTTAATTAACAAAAAAATGAACAGCAAAATGAACAAGGTCTTTAGGCTGCTAATCTGTCACCCAGAGTGCTTTATAAAAGCTTGCACATTTGGCCATTTGAAACACTACTGCTATCAACAGTGCATGCCATTCTTTTTCTAGAAACATCTCCTCATAGACCACAGGACAGTTTATCTTTCCAGGGACGTATGTTTGCTTTGACTGAGGGAAGCATCTAGTTATCAGTTTCAAATGCCACAGTAAACCCTGTGAAAGCTTTGTCCTTTTACTGTCACCACATTGTTGCAATATTACATCGTCTTCCTCTTTAAGCTGTTGATGAGATGTGTGCAGTCTGTGGAACATCTGATTTGTTTTCAGAAGCTTACAGAAAGTGTTCTTCCTTTGATGCAAATTAATTGTGTGGTTTGTGGTGGGCATCACAGGGTAGGTACAAAATGTTTTATTGCAGGAAGGAATGTGTCAAAGGCCAACATGCTCACTCACTGAGATGGGAATCAGAAGTCGAAGTTAATATTCATCCCTTTGATCAAATGGCAGTTAGTGCCATTTTTTGAGAGTAAAAGCTCAGTAGAACTAACATTTCATTTAATCCATGTTTGCTTTATTTATTTAGGCTTCAATGACACATTTGTCTAAATAAATCTCATAATTACAGACCCATTGAGATGTGGGTGCTGGATGGGTCTGATGTTTGTTAATTCGATCTGTTTCGCAGTTGTAATAATATCATTATGGTCAGAGCTCCATTTCAAGTTCATTCCACCCTTTTTCTCCCCTTCATTACACTACCTAATAATGGACAAAAATCAAATAATATAAAAAATATATATTTTTAGCATTTTCTTTTCTTTTTATTTATAAATAACTGTTTTATTTGTTTTGCTCCATCCGTCCGTCCCTAGATGAAACTCATGAAGCTCGTGCAGCGTTTACCTGCCAGCGTTGTGAAGCGACTGCATCGAGAACGCTACCGGACGCCAACGTGGCTGACTCCTGTTCCCGAGAGCCACCTTCTCAGTGAGCAAGACATCACAGACTTTGTGGAAAGCATGAAGCAGCCCGTCCTGTTGGCGATGTTTAGTAAAACTGGCAGCCTGGATGCTGCCCAGGCCTTGCAAAACCTTGCTCTGCTCAGACCTGAGCTAGTCATTCCTCCAGTGCTGGAGAAGTAAGTGTTTGTTTGTTTGTTTGTTTGTTCTTTTTAAATGGGCATAAATGAACAATTTTAAGAGTACAATAATTTTATAAATGTTTTGTACAATTTGACTTGTTAACGACCCCTTGGTAGTTTAGAATTGAGAGAATAAATTGATGACGTGTGGATGATGGGCTTGACATTATCACATAAAAGCATTTTCGAGACACTTTCCTCCTGTTCTCCGTCTCATTTAAGGACATATCCTGCCATGGAGACCCTCACTGCACCTCACCAGCTGACCGCCACCCTAAGCTGTATGATCGGTGTGGCACAGAGCCTGGTGGCTGGGGGCCAGAGGTTTCCAGAGGGCCCCACACACATGCTGCCTCTCCTCATGAGGGCTCTGCCTGGGGTCGACCCCAACGACTTCAGAAAGTGCATGGTGAGGGTCTGTTCAAGAAAGTTATTGGTTACTTGTAATGAAAATTACCAGTGAAAATTGGTAAACTAATGAAAAATGTTTTTGAGATAAAAAAAAAAAAACTTGTAGAAATCATAGAAATTTTGTCTTTTCAACTAACTGAAATAAAATAAGTTTGTTGATGCACTAGAATTGAAATAAATATAAATTAAAAATGACAAAAGCACATAACAAAATTACCAAAACGTAAACATAAAATTAAATTATATAAAAAAATAAAAGCTTAAAAAATAATAAATAAAAATATTAATAAATACTATATTAAAATGAATACTGCTTAGCCTGTCCTAGCTAAGAATATCATCGTGTAATTTAAAGTGTAAGACTATGTAGTAACCAGGCACTATTCCAGTTTCAGGCAGGGTTAGGTGACACAAGGTCTTTTTTTTCCGTCCAAGACTAGCAAATGGTCTTATAGAGGTCTGTATATTTAAGCTTACAGAAAGTGTTCTTCCTTTGATGCAAATTAATTGTGTGGTTTGTGGTGGGCATCACAGGGTAGGTACAAAATGTTTTATTGCAGGAAGGAATGTGTCAAAGGCCAACATGCTCACTCACTGAGATGGGAATCAGAAGTCGAAGTTAATATTCATCCCTTTGATCAAATGGCAGTTAGTGCCATTTTTTGAGAGTAAAAGCTCAGTAGAACTAACATTTCATTTAATCCATGTTTGCTTTATTTATTTAGGCTTCAATGACACATTTGTCTATATAAATCTCATAATTACAGACCCATTGAGATGTGGGTGCTGGATGGGTCTGATGTTTGTTAATTCGATCTGTTTCGCAGTTGTAATAATATCATTATGGTCAGAGCTCCATTTCAAGTTCATTCCACCCTTATTCTCCCCTTCATTACACTACCTAATAATGGACAAAAATCAAATAATATAAAAAAAAATATATTTTTAGCATTTTCTTTTCTTTTTATTTATAAATAACAGTTTTATTTGTTTTGCTCCATCCGTCCGTCCCTAGATGAAACTCATGAAGCTCGTGCAGCGTTTACCTGCCAGCGTTGTGAAGCGACTGCATCGAGAACGCTACCGGACGCCAACGTGGCTGACTCCTGTTCCCGAGAGCCACCTTCTCAGTGAGCAAGACATCACAGACTTTGTGGAAAGCATGAAGCAGCCCGTCCTGTTGGCGATGTTTAGTAAAACTGGCAGCCTGGATGCTGCCCAGGCCTTGCAAAACCTTGCTCTGCTCAGACCTGAGCTAGTCATTCCTCCAGTGCTGGAGAAGTAAGTGTTTGTTTGTTTGTTTGTTTGTTCTTTTTAAATGGGCATAAATGAACAATTTTAAGAGTACAATAATTTTATAAATGTTTTGTACAATTTGACTTGTTAACGACCCCTTGGTAGTTTAGAATTGAGAGAATAAATTGATGACGTGTGGATGATGGGCTTGACATTATCACATAAAAGCATTTTCGAGACACTTTCCTCCTGTTCTCCGTCTCATTTAAGGACATATCCTGCCATGGAGACCCTCACTGCACCTCACCAGCTGACCGCCACCCTAAGCTGTATGATCGGTGTGGCACAGAGCCTGGTGGCTGGGGGCCAGAGGTTTCCAGAGGGCCCCACACACATGCTGCCTCTCCTCATGAGGGCTCTGCCTGGGGTCGACCCCAACGACTTCAGAAAGTGCATGGTGAGGGTCTGTTCAAGAAAGTTATTGGTTACTTGTAATGAAAATTACCAGTGAAAATTGGTAAACTAATGAAAAATGTTTTCGAGATAAAAAAAAAAAAAACTTGTAGAAATCATAGAAATTTTGTCTTTTCAACTAACTGAAATAAAATAAGTTTGTTGATGCACTAGAATTGAAATAAATATAAATTAAAAATGACAAAAGCACATAACAAAATTACCAAAACGTAAACATAAAATTAAATTATATAAAAAAATAAAAGCTTAAAAAATAACAAATAAAAATATTAATAAATACTATATTAAAATGAATACTGCTTAGCCTGTCCTAGCTAAGAATATCATTGTGTAATTTAAAGTGTAAGACTATGTAGTAACCAGGCACTATTCCAGTTTCAGGCAGGGTTAGGTGACACAAGGTCTTTTTTTTTCCGTCCAAGACTAGCAAATGGTCTTATAGAGGTCTGTATATTTACCTTTTTTTTTTTTTTTTTTCCAGATAACATTCCAGTTTTTAGCAACTTTTGTTACTCTTGTGCCATTGGTGGACTGTTCAGCTGCAGTTCAGACAAGAAATGACCTCACACAGGTGAGATATCCTCCTGTCATTAGTCTTTTTACATGTCATAATGTGCAACTCAATCTTTTCATTTATTGTCTTTGTGCAGGTGGAAAAAGAGTTGTGTTCAGCATCGGCAGAGTTCGAGTATTTTGTTCTTCAATTTATTGATAGGTACAGAACTCAGAGAACCGTTGTTGTTGTTGTCTCTGAATACTGTACATGTGTATTTCTTTTTGTATCCTCATTCTCCCTCTCATTTTTGTGTATTTAGATGTTTTGCACTGATTGACACGAGTACACCGGAACAGACTCAAGAGGAGATGGAGACAGAGAAAATGACTCATCTGGAGAGTCTGTTGGAGCTGGGCCTGTCCTCCACATTCTGCACTATCCTCACACAATGCTCTATGGAAATATTCCAGGTTATTATAAACACACACATGGAGTTAAACCTAGTCATAACATATACTACCACTCAAAAGTTTGGGGTCGGTAAGATTTTTTTTTTTATATGTTTTGCTTACCAGGGCTATTTCTATGATGAAAAATACAGTAAAAACAGTAATATTTTGAAAAGTTGGTGTTCAGGAACCATTTTTTCTTATCAATGTTGAAAACATTTGTGCTGCTTAATATTTTTGTTGAAACCAAAAAATGTTTTTCAGGATTGCTTTAAAAAAACCTTGCTGACCCCAAACTTTTGAATGGTAGTGTATATCTATAATTGAAAAAAATAAAACTTTATAAATCTAAATCTAGAAATCAAATTCTGTATAGATATTTAGAACTCTTGAAATCTGGAACTTTACTCTAGAATCTAACTCAAAATCTATTTCTAACTAGAAGTCTATAACTATAAACATCTAGAGATGTATAAAATAACAGTCCTTGTCTCTGTCTGTAGGTGACCCGTGTGGGTAGTGATCAACTGTTACTCTACAGGTCTCAGCTGGTGCAGATTCTTCAGTTAACTCTGCACCTGAAATGGAAGCAGGGCTACAATCTGGCCTGTAAGCTACTCTATCACATCCTGCGTTCCATGTCCATCATCTATCCCAGAGAATACTGCAGTGTGCCCAGCGGCGTCCAGCAGCACAGTGACACATACTTACCAATTAAGGTCAGTCTCAAGTGGAAAATGAGACGGCTTGATTTAGCCACTAACCCTGAGCCTCAGCTCTCCTTAGAAAAAATCTGAAATATGACGCCATAATCCTGAAGAATCTGCAGACTATCCAAGAGTCCAAAAAAATTGTTTTATTGTGATATTAGTGTGCATTAATATTATATAAATATTATAATAAAATATGACCCCTGTTAAGTATAGTAATAAAAAAATGTACAATACAAGTAAAGGGGACTAAATAACATCTCAAGGACTTATGTACAATTCCTGCATGTTATTGGTCAGACTAAAGTTTGGATGTTTTAGACAATAAAAAAATCCTGGCCTGGATGGTTCCCGTATAAATGGCACATATGTGACCCTGGACCACAAAACCTTTAAAGGGGTCATATGATGCGATTTCAAGTTTTCCTTTCTCTTTGGAGTGTTACAAGCTGATTGTGCATAGATAAGATCCCTGAAGTTGCAAAGACTAAAGTCTCAAAACCAAAGAGATATTCTTTATCAAAGTTAAGACTCTGCCACGCCCCCCTAAAACGGCTCGTTCTAACACGCCCCCACATATCTACCTCACTATGTGGAAATATTTGCATAATGCCGCCCAAATATGCAAGCAAAGAAAGAAGGCATGGATTCAGTAACCGCAGTTAGTGTTGAAGCAGCCATGTCAGGGAGACGCTGTGTGTTTCTAGGCGAAAGCAAAAGCACTTTATTTGGCCTTCCGAAAGTAGATGCATTTAGGAATCTTTAAGATTACTAACAACAGAACAGCAATGCATTTTATGGACGACCGTTTCGTGAACCTAGGAGAGGAGGTAATTTTGATTATGGTAAGGGGCGTTACATTTCTGACGAGTGCTTGCGGTGTTCGACCAATCACAGTGAACTGGGTCAGCTGGCCAATCAGAGCAGACTGCGCTTGTCGGAAGGAGGGACTTTGTAGAAAACGAAGCGTTTGAGAGAGGCGGGGCATAGAGGACCTACAATAATGTACAGTATTTGAAAAATAATGTGTTTTTTGAACATTAAAGCATGTCAACATATTCTGTTACACCAAGTACACCAAATAATGATCTTTTAAAAACCATCATATGACCCCTTTAAGTCTTAAGTCGCTGGGGTATATTTGTAGCAATAGCCAAAAATACATTGTATGGGTCAAATTTATAGATTTTTCTTTTATGCCAAAAGTCATTAGGATATTAAGTAAAGATCATGTTCCATGAAGATATTTAGTAAATTTTCTACTGTAAATATATCCAAACTTAATTTTTGATTAGTAATTTGCATTGCTAAGGACTTCATTTGGACAACTTTAAAGGCAATTTTCTAAATTTTTTGATTTTTTTGCACCCTCAGATTCCAAATATTCAAATAGTTGTATCTCGACCAAATATTGTCCTATCCTAACAAACCATACATCAATTGAAAGCTTATTTATTCAGCTTTCAGATGATGTATATATCTTAATTTTGAAAAATTTACACTTAAGACTGGTTTTGTGGTCCAGGGTCACATATGGCCACCCTATGTATTCCCCAACTATAAGTCACTTTGGATAAAAGTGTCTGCCAAATGAATAAATGTAAATGTGAATAAAGTCTGAAAATATAATAATAAATAATAATTATAATAATAATAATGTTATAAATAAATATAACAAAATGTGTAAATTACCATTCACAACAGCAGAGTGAACGGGAATGTCCCGCTTGGATATATCTGTGTTTGCTCCTGTGACCGGGCTTTACTTTTATCCTATTAAATGTCTCTAAAGAGAAAGAGATGAGATTGAGTAAATGGATGGATTAGTGGAGCTCCGTCACCATCTCAAGCATTGGTTAACCTGAGTACTTTTTCTTAGACGGACAGACGTCACTCTTCCTCACTGTCTGACGTATTATTACATGGTTCATTTGAACTTGACTCCACCTCTGCATTCTCAGAAAATCAGAACTACTCCCCTCATTTTCTAAGTTTATGAAAACAAATCCATGAAACTTCTTTGTAACTTTTTTTTAAGGTCTTAACGAAAAGTGTATAAAGAAAATATAACAAGGATGATTTTAAACATAACGCCAATTATCATCAGTATACGTAATTACACAAAACATCGGTCACTGTTGTTGTTGTGGTTTTTTTTAGTTTTGAGATAGAAAAAAAATCATGTCATGGAAGCTGATGTTCCACTAGTTGTCTCTGTCTCCTCTCTGAATCAGGACTGGGGGCAGCCTGGAGACCTGTTGAACCTGGGCATCCAATGGCACGTGCCCAGCACAGAAGAGAAAGAGTTTGTTTTCTACCTGCTGGATCTGCTGTTAAAGCCTGAACTCCAGCGTCTGCAGAAACACGCACAGGGAGAACAAGACATCAGCAGGTCAGCCACAGGTTACAGTAACATCTTATCTGTGTTTGAACTCATCCGTACCCCCACAGCCAGAAATGTGTTCATATTATACTGAATTTTCTTTAAAAAGTGACTGAATGTGTTTATAACAAGGGATTAACTGTGATTTATTTAATCCTTGACCCTTTTTTAATTGATTTTATGTTTTTGTTTCATAGTGGCAAAAATCTGAATGTTTTTAAATACCCCTGGCTCCTGTGGTACACGTTCACATGATTCAATGATTTACAACACCAATTCCCGAAAAGTTGGGATGTTTTGTCAAATCCAATAAAATCAAGGATCTGTGATTTGTTAATTCTCTTTAACTTTTATTTAATTGACAAAAGTACAAAGAAAAGATTTCCAAAGTTTTCACTGACCAACTTAAATATATTTTGTAAATATAAACTAATTTTGATTTTGATGGCTGCAACAAACTTTTAAAAAGTTGGGACAGAGGCAAAATAAAAGTGAAAAGGTTATAAAATATCCAAAGGACAATAGGTGAGAGTATCATGGCCTGGATAGCTATGCAAATTAATTAGGGATGGGTGTATCGATCCTGAAGTATCGATATATCAATACTGATGCGAGTATCGAAAGTATCGATACTCAAATAAAAATTATCGATACTAATCTGTTTTTAACAAAAAAATTAATGTATACAATACGCATTGAATTGGACGAATAACCTATGTTAGAGAATAATTGTGTAGGATAGAACTATTTTCCTGCTCATCTGAAGATGGAACCAATCAATCACAGAGAGCATTCACTCACTTCTGACAGTGCATTCGAATAGGGCTGCGTTTCCCAAAAGTATCATAAGAAAGTATTGATGCCTTTGGGAGCAGCAGCCCAGAACAATGCTATCAGAGGACAGAAAAAAACATATATGATTGAATTATTTCACAATAAATAAACTGAAATTGTAGCCTACATAGTTTGTGCAATTACATTTATTTAAATTAAACGTTAAAAGTTCATATTGATTATGTTCTATTCTGTAATGTTAATATAAATCATACACTGTCAGAATAAAAGTTTGCTTTTAATGCGTGCAACAGCCTTTCACTGGCAGTCCCTTATGAAAATGAACCATGGTTTTACGAAAGTGACCATAGTTCAACTATATATATTTTAATAATAGATTTCCATGGTTACCACTAAAGTAAACATATTTTAACCATGTGTAAACAAAAATATAAACTAATAAGTTGCAATTAAGGCGTATTGAATGTTAAAATGCATTTCAAATATAAAGTTAAGTGGATATCATTAACCATTGTACTCTTAAGTAATTTAATAAATTTCAATAATTTAAAAGTTCAGTTTAGAAGTATCGTATCGGTATCGTATCGAAAATAAAATAAATGGTATCACCCATCCCTAATGCAAATTTTGCTGCCAGTTTCATTGGCCTTTTCTCAATGATGTCAGAGGTGTCTGGGCTCCCAAGTGCGACCCCTAGTGTTGGAATTTCGACACAACGTCGAAGTGACCGACTGAAAGGGAGCATTGGAATTTTTTTCTTTGTACTTTAGTCAGTTAAATAAAGGTTAAAGAGAATGAACAAATGACATATTCTTGATTTTATGGCATTTCACAAAACATCCCAAATTTTCTGGAATTGGGATTGTAGAGACAAATCAGAGACTATGATGTAAGACTGATTTAAGAAATATTGTTGTTTCTTTCATAGATGGACAGATTTTTAATTTGATGCGTTAATTAAAAAGATCAGAGAAAGACTAATTTGCTAATGTGTTTGGTCTCTTTAGGGATGACGTTCTGCAGAGTCTGTCCATTGTTCATAACTGCCTTCTGGGAGCAGGCAGCCTTCTGCCTCTACTGTATGGAGAACCTGTGCCAGAGATGTGAGTGACACACACAATGTACTACAGTTACAAAAACAACAAAAATCTTTTAATTTAGTATGCATGGATTGTAAAACTATACAGTATTTGATGCTCTGGTACTCTTATTTTTAAACATTGATTTAGTAATATTTTAACTTTGCAATGTTTCTTACTTCAGGGCAAACAGTATGGTTCCACTATACGAGACAAACGTGTACACGGGAGTAGACTATGGTAAGTGAGCATTTCCTTCTTGTGTTTAGTATCCGTGCAAGAGCTATACTTATTAATGAATTAGTTGCTTGGCAATTGATTATTATTGATTGTGGCAGACCTGTCTAGAGAGAACTACAGAGAGGACATCTGTAAGGTGATTAGACCTCTACTACGTAAGTTACTCCAACACACTGAGTCCTGTTCTAGTTTTAAACTTTAAAGTTTAATACAGCAGATCAATTTTCTAACCTTTTTAACATCTAACATCAGATGTGATCAATTATTTTATAATGATAATTGTTATATATTGGCTGAACTGAAAGCTGCAGTATTCAAGACTCTCTGAACTCTATGATGTTTATCTGTATAGACCATACTCTAGAGCACTCAGAGGACGACATCAAATCCCTCTTCTCAATTCTAAAGGTGAACTGAAACACGGTCAGGTTTTCTCTAACATTTGTGTGGATGTGCAGATTATCTTTACAGTATTGCATTGGTGATAAGCAGTGGTATGACTGACAAATGGTGTTTTCCCTCTATAGATCATCAATGACCTGCTTCACTTCAAAGGCTCACACAAACATGAGTTTGACTCCCGCTGGAAAAGTTTCAGTCTTATTAAGAAGTCCATGGAGAACAAGGTTAGAGGCACATTTAATGTCTGTTACTAATCTCTATATTTGATGTGTAGTAGACTGAAACTCCCTCTTCTTCTCTCCAGCTTCACGGCAGTAAACAGCACATCAGAGCTCTACTCATAGACAGAGTCATGTTGCAACATGAGGTAACTCATAATAATTAAAATAATTAACATTTTATAGAGCGTTTGGGTGAATCTCACAAAACCTGTCAGACATATTTATTTACATTTTTCATTTTTATATAATTACATTTATTTTATTAATGTGTTCTATGTAATATTGTGTATAAAGATGAAAATGAAAAATGAAGTCTATGTGGAATGTGTCATAAAAGCTATGTTTAAATATTTATATTCAATTCTTTTGATTTTAGTGTAAAATAATTGACCCCGAACAGGTTTTCATGAGATTCACCCCTTTATATGTATAATATTTTTGGGTACCATAAAATAAGAATGCATATTTTTGTGCTCTTCAGCATGTTTTGTTAAGATTTCAGTAGTTTTGAGTATGTTTTGTGCCTATGTGTGTGTTTCAGTTAAGAAATCTGACCAAGGAGGGATGTTGCTACAGGAGTGTTCATCAAGACCTGATAAATGACCTGCTCCGACTGTCCACCAGCAGGTACAGTCAGGTATGTCAAGGCCATACACGCACACACACACATACATGCATATGTATTCACACACAAAAGCAATGAATACACCATTAACAGTCTCTATTTTACCTCAGGTGAGGAGTAAAGCTCAGAATGTGCTGTTCACTGCATTGGGTACCTACAACTTATGCTGCAGAGATGTCATCCCTGCAGTGCTGAAGTATCTGGACCCAGACCGCACTGACGTTACCCAGCAGCAATTCAAAGTAGGTCTTACACCATTCGTGATGAATAACTGCACTAAAAGAAACTAAAAATGTTTTCTGTTCCTATTGATCGTTCTGACATTTGACGGCTTTGCAAAATTGAATAGGATCATATTTTGTCTATGTCTTTTTTTACTCTTCTCCAGGGTGCCTTGTACTGTCTGTTAGGGAACCACTCTGTTATCTGTCTTGCTAACCTGCAGTACTGGGACTGCATTACTCTCACATGGCCTGTCATCATACGCTCTGGTTTGAGCCCCTCCATGTCTCTAGAGAAGTCTTCGGTCGTCCGGCTCTTCGATGATCTGGCTGACAAAATCCACTGCCAGTACGAGACCATTGGAGTTGACTTTTCTGTGAGTTCAGCAAATAGTAGCCTAAATGAGGGAGAAACATTAACTAAACATCGGGGAAAAATTACACACTTCAGCTTTAAGTGGATGGAAAGCCTTCGTTCGTTTTGCTAATATGTTTACTGTCATCGCACACCAGCTTCAACTTCAACTGCAGTTATAACAAAAGTAAAAGTATTTTTTATTGTGACACTGTTCTTTTTTCTTTCATATTCAGATCCCGGAGAGTTGTGTGGAGGTTGCTCTAAAAATGATGAAATCTAGTAACCCAGAACCGACTCTATGTGCCGCCTCTGAACAGGAGGAACTGGAGGGAAGAAAGAGACAGGAACAGAAAAACAAAGACTCAGTGCAGTAAGTAAATGCATAAAAAAACTACATACAAATATGCTTTCCAATTTATATCCAGTTAAGCAGTGGATATACACAAAAATTTAGTTTTTTCTGTTTTATCAATCCTAACAGAAAGTATGAGAATCTAGTGGTGGATCTTTTGGACTGCCTTTACGACCGAAACCTGTACGTCTACTCATTGTGTCTTTTGAGATTGGACAGCAAATGTCTGGATGGTAAAGTCATGGAAATTCATTGGTCATATGCTTGTTTATTTGGCAGGCCCTGGAAGTTTGAGCAGATAGCTATCGGCTTCCTCTCTCTGATGCTGAGAGATGACCACCCCTTGCCTTCCTCTGCAGTCCTCTTTTTCATTGAGAGCCTGAACCACGACTCGCTCTTAGTTCGCAATGTGTGTTTGTGTGTGCATTGTGTCACAATTATACTTATGAACATATGTGTGCAAGGAAAGCTACACAAAAAACGCACTTCATTCTGTCGTGTGCTATTTGTTGTTCAGGGTGCGATATCAGCAGTGAGTGGAATTTTAAAGCAGCTTAAGAGACCTCACAAGAAAGTGGCAGTGAATCCTTACGACTTATCTGAGCTCAAAACGTCTCTACAATCATGTGAGTACACTAACCATCAGAGGCGGACAACGTACTCAACTCCATTACTTGAGTGAAAGTACAAAAACAAAAAACAAATTTAACACCCCTACCCACCCCCACAAAAGCAAGATGGTAGTGATCTCACACAGCTCTGACAGTGTGTGCACACATCTATGTGTAGCCATTCATCCACATTTGAACAGAGTGGACAGTGAAATCCTGTAAATACATAGTGATAAGGAAGAAAACAAAAATCAAACGTGCTTTAAAACCCAGCAACACAACTGTAGATGTATAACTTTACAACAGCAACACTGCTTTAACAAAAAAGCAAAGCAGCAAGACTTATTTGACATCAAAACAAACATTTGAAATGCTGTCTAATCGCTCTCGCTGTACTTTAATGTCACACACAGAACAGTCTGTGCAGTGCTGCTTCAGTCAAACACCTTTTGTGTTTTATTAGGAGACGCACAACAGGTCTTCTGTGGCTTTATAGCTAATATTTTCACCTACACAATTTAGCAAAAAACATGTCTAATATATACATGACAATATCGTGTCTAATATATACCACAATATTAACTTCTTATTATTGAATTGCTGTAAATAAATATCACATTTGCAACTGGTCAGTGTTCAAAAATGCTGGGAAATCTCTTCATGTAGCCCTACAAGAGTGATTACTGATAAGCTGTCTGAAAAAAAGAGTCACGTTTTAGAGAAGAAAAAAATCACCCACTGACTTTCAAAGCTGCTACATACAGTAGTGATGACTTTCTACTTCGAGGACCTTGATAGAAATGTAGTGGAGTGAAAAGTACAATATTTGTTAAAAGTCATATTATTAAAGTCATAAGTTCCCAGAAAAAAATAATACTCAAGTAAACGTACTTAGTTACTGTCCGCCTCTGCTAACCATACAGTAAGAATTGACTCATATCAAAGAATTTCTGAGATTTTAGCTTTATTTGTTCCTGTTCTTCGTGTAGGTGGTGGTAAAGCTCTAGGCTCTCTGCTGGCAGGAGACAGGTCTGATAACCAGTGGCTGCAGTATGACAGTAGCAGGTTGCCACGTTCCCAGCAGGACTGGGATGAATGCTGCTTCATTGAGAAAACCCACTGGGGCTATTCCACATGGCCACGGTACACATGCTTACAGTGCTTAAATACATGAGTCATGCACCATATTTCATGTCTTCCAAAGCCATACAATAGCTTTGTGTGAGGAATATAAAGAAAATTGATGTACACACAAAAGTGACAGTAAAGACCTTTTCAGTATTACAGAAGATTTCTTTTGAACTTAATATACATCAAAGAATTCTGTAAAAAAATTAAATAAAATTAAGCGGCACAACTGTTCTCAACATTGATAAGAAATGGTTCTTAAGTGCCAAATCATCATATTAGAATGATTTCTGAAGGACTATGTGACACTGAAGACTAGATTAATGGCTGCTGAAAATCAAACTTTTGAATGGTAGCATATATTTAGCAGTTGATTGAAGATCAACACAAAATTGATTTTAAAATTATTATTATTTTTTTTTTTTTTAAGGACGCTGATGCTCTATGCCCCTCCTGAGGAACAGCCTAAACAGGGCAAAACAAGACAAGAAATGAATGAGGTACACAAATATTCAAATTAAATGACATCTAAACCCAACCACTGTCTGAAAATCTCAACAGATACTCATACCACCTCATTGTTTTCTGTGTTGTAGAGTGAAAAGATCATATACGATCATTTCTCAGACCAGCAGTTCATAGATCAGTTCATCCACTATTTGTCTCAGGAGGACAGAAAGGGGAAAGATAAATTCAGCCCACGACGATTTTGCCTTTTTAAGGTGAGAGTATTCAGACGTGCATCTACAGTCCATTGTTCAAACCAATTTGGTTCTACAGTATATCTGACATCCAGCCAATTAAAAAAATATCAGCAAAAATGTAACAGCAAAAACATAAACATTGTCTTGTGTTGCAAAAGGGTCTTTTCCGGAACTTTGATGATGCCTTCCTGCCTCTGCTGAAGCCTCATATGGAGCGACTGGTTGCAGATTCCCATGAGAGCACCCAGCGCTGTGTGGCGGAGATCATCTCTGGACTCATCAGGGGCTCCAAACACTGGAGCTACAGCAAGGTATTAGCACACACGCATTTAGTTGCAATTCAACAAAGTTCAGAGGATTAGAGTCTTCAACATCACTGTTTTGGTGCTGAATGATGTAAACGTGTTTGAGTTTGTATGTGATTGTGTTGTTTGTTACAGGTGGAAAAACTGTGGGCTCTACTGTGTCCACTCCTCCGTAAAGCTCTCTCCAATATCACCATTGAGACGTATGCAGACTGGGGCACCTGCATTGCCACTGCCTGCGTAAGGACACCTTTGTCACTCTTTTTAGAGCATGAACTCCTCTTTTAGTAGGATGTAGACCCATATGTTTTATATCATTGAGTTTTTGCACAATTATCTACAAAAAACATGCCATTTAAATTGTGGATTAAATTTAAGTCTCATATTCTTATATAAATAAGGCTAATGCTGAAAGTATGTTGGAAAAATCTGTTATTCTACACTAGCATTCAAAAGATTGCAGTTTGTGTTTTATGAGTTTAAGTTTTAAATCAAATGACAGTAGACATTTATAATGTTATAAAATATTTCATATAAATGCTTTCTTTTGAACTTTTTATTCATCAAAGAATCCTGAAAAAACTGTTTTCATTTATTATAATAATAATAAATATTTCTTGTGGACCAAATCAGCATATTAGAATGATTTCTGAAGGATCATGTGACACTGTAGACTGGCATAACGGCTGCTGAAAATTCAGTCATACCATCACTTGAAATATATATTTTAACATGTATAGATTAAAATAGAAAGCAGTTGTTTTAAATTAAAATAATATTTCACAATATTTCATTTTTTACTGTATTTTTGATCAAAACAGCCTTGGTGAGCATAAAAGACTTCTTTCAAAAACATTTCAAAAATCTTACCGACCCAAAACTTTTAAACAGTAGTATATGCTTTCATATTTTCCCAAAAAATGATTCCTTGTGTTTGTGTGTATTGTACAGGAGAGCCGAGACCCACGAAAGCTGCACTGGCTGTTTGAGATGCTGATGGAATCACCGGTCACAGGAGAAGGAGGCTCATTTGTGGACGCCTGGTATGACATCACTACCAAACTGAAAGCTGAATGTAATGGATTAAAAGCAGGAATGTGATGAATGTGACTTGTATATATTTCATGTCTAAGTTTGTCATGTAATTGGACGCAATGTCATGTCTCTTTTTCAGCCGTCTGTATGTGCTGCAGGGAGGTCTTGCTCAGCAGGAGTGGAGGGTCCCAGAGCTGCTTCACAGGTTACTACACTACCTAGAACCCAAACTCACTCAGGTCTACAAGAATGTACGCGAACGCATCGGCAGGTATGTGCTTGAATACAAAAATCAACATTATATGTGTTTTTTTTCATGTTCAATTTGCCTTCAGAGCCGCTGTATATTAGCAACACATTCAGCAACTGCAGTTCATTCTTACTCTCTTCTTGTCCTGTCTCTCAGTGTGCTCACCTACATCTTCATGATTGACGTGAACCTACCACACACTCAGCCCACCATGTCTCCGCGCATCGCAGAGTTCACAGAGCGTGTGCTGGCCAGGCTCAAGCCTTTAACGGAGGGTGAGGAGGAGATCCAGAACCATGTGGTAGAGGAGAACACAGTGGGAGATCAAGACGAGAGGACACAAGCCATCAAATTACTCAAAACTGGTGTGTATTTTGTGTGTCTCGCTGTTTGTGTGTGAACATGATTGTTTGAGAAAGTGAAAATGAGTGTGCAGAAGTGTTTCAGGGATATTTTGTGTTTTTCACTGTCTTTGTGACAGTGTTGAAGTGGTTGATGACCAGTGCTGGACGCTCCTTCTCTTCTGCGGTCCCTGAACAGCTTCGTCTCCTCCCTCTACTCTTTAAAGTGAGTCCAGACTTTGTCCCTAATTGAGTTCACTCCCTACAAATCTTGTGTTTTTAAGCCTATCTCTCTCTCTCTCTTTCTAGATTGCTCCCGTGGAGAATGACGACAGCTATGATGAGATGAAGAGAGACGCTAAGATGTGTCTGTCTCTCATGTCCCAGGGGCTTCTGTACTCAGAGCAGATCCCACAAGTCCTCAATGCACTTGAGGAGGTGACTTTCCAGTGCTCATAACGCATGCACACACACACACTAAAAGCTGAAAACAGCATATTTAGTAGGAGTTATGTGTGAATGTGAGGGTTTGATGTGTGATTTGACCAGCAGATGGCGTTATATGTTACAGATTTCAAGGATCAGCTCATGGCACGCACGTTACACCGTTCTCACCTACCTGCAGATCATGGTTTTCTACAATCTTTTCACCTTCCTCAGTGATGCCAAGGCCGTCAGTGACGTGAGAGCGCTGGTACTACGCCTGCTGGAGGATGAACAACTTGAGGTGTGTGAATAAACTTGCACATGCATAAAGGTTTGTTTCGCAGTTTCTGAGGACTAGGGTTGTCTCTGGCTCTTTATTTTCTGTGGGGAACAACCAATCATCTGCCAAGCCTAATATGAGAGTACATAATAGTCATTTCATACTGAATATTATGAATTATTTGTGTTCCTCAATCAACATCATAAAATGCAAAAATTAAATGGATGAACTTTATGAACAGCACTTTAACTATGACAGCCAATCAGCAAAACAGCAGAGCATTCGAATAAAATCACTGACTCGGCAATGAAGAATTGCACAACAATCTCTCATTCGACAAACTTGGCAGACTTTCTGGCTGTTGATGAATGAATTAATTGAATGAATCATTTTAATACCATAGTGAGAGCATTTTTTGGCAGTTTTTAATACTAATAAAAGTTTGTCATATGAAGCAATGCATTTTAACCATGTTAATATGTACACAAATAATATGACAAACAATACATTTGCATTGCACATTTGTATTTATTTAAAATTGTTTATATATTAATTTCATTCGAATTTTATAATTTAATTACATTATTTGTCATTTTAATTTATTGTATTTTCTACATCCTAGCTTTACATTTACTTCTAAAACTACCAATTTATTTATTTACTTTTACTAGTGTGGCCCTTTTAAAATGTGGTACTCTACCTTTTAAATTGATTAAAAGTGACAGCAAAGACATTTTATAATGTTACAAAATATTTCTATTTCAAATAAATGCTGTTCTTTTGAACATTCTAATCATCAGAGAATCATAAAAAATGTATCACAGTTTGTACAAAAATATTAAGCAGCACAACTGTTTACAAGATTAATAATAAAAACCAAATCAGCGTATTTGAATGATTTCTGAAGGATCATGTAACACTGAAGACTGGAGTAATGGAAAATTCAGCTTTGCCATCCCGTTAATTTACATTTTAAATATATTAAAATAGAAAACAGGTTTTGCAGTTAATATAAATTTTTGAGGACATTTTCCAAATATTGGGCCCTCATAATACATACCTTTAATACACAGGCCATAGTCGCAGTGCTCAGTCGCAGTCTTTTTCTTCGGATTTCACTCCCATGATGTGTGCAGATATCTGCATGTTTAAGATACGTTTCACTCAACTCCACTGAATTAAGCCTGATCACTCTTCAAGATTATATATCTATCTATATTTGAGTTCTTTTAGAGGAAAATCTAAACGGAAGCAACTAAGAATAAGCACGACCTTCTGTTCATGCATGTGTTTGAGTGTAATCGCTAAGGTTAACTGTGTCGAAAGCCAATTGCGTAGGCCGCTCTGGTGAAAGTGTCTCTTTCTCTTTTCAGTGATGTTGCACTCTCATTTTCCTTTATTCTTTCTCTCTCTCACACTCTCTATCCTTCTATCCCTCTTACTGTTACCATGGCAACTCCCCGCTGCAGCAGTATTCTGTTTCCATGGTGATAGATGTTCAAATTTCCAGAGAGGAGAGGACTGCAAACAGAGAGAAGAGGCTAAAGGGGGAAAAGAATAGGGTTATGAGTGGAAGAAAACTACACCCTTTAATTCAGGCTATTAAATCAAAGCACCTTGGGTTCCATGGTGCATACGACCCTCTGTCTGCTGATGTAATACAGCCATTCAGTTGATTGGTACCAGCCAATGAGAACGTGACGGTTTCAAAGTTAAATATCAGAGCACACTGGCCAAGGTCACTAGATTTTGAAGCTTCAAATCATAAGCCATTGTTTCTTTTTCACCACAGATGCGTGTCCTAAACTCTCATAGACATGCACCGAGAATTGCTATTGCTGAGTCAGCTTTTATGGCTGTCTGTGTTTTTAATAACTAAGGATTTTTTTGCCTAATTACACAGTTCTTCCTTGAGACCGGTTAAATGACTATTTGTTTAGCACATCACTGGTAATAAACTCTATATTTGCTTATTTACCCATTTCAACCTGACTGGAGTTCTGCTCTGGAACATCTTGTTTTGTTCTGTAATGCAGATGGCACTGTTCTGCTATGCTATACACTTCTTTTCTTCAGGCCCTGTGTATTTTTTTTCTTTAAAGAAAAGTTCTGACCCCGTCTTTCCCTGCTCTGTACTTCCCACACTATTTTCAGATAACTGAAAAGAGAAACTGTCTGAACCTTTGGCCACAAGATATTAGCCTGAACTGTAACAATGTAATGATCTTTATTTCCTTCTCTCTCTTTGTCTCTCTCTCTTCATGTTTTTAGGTGAGGGAGATGGCCGCCACCACTCTAAGTGGATTCCTGCAGTGTAATTTTCTCAGCATTGATGAACCCATGCAGGCCCATTTTGAGGCCCTGAGCAAGACCCGTCTGCCCAAGCGCAAGAGGAGAGAGCTGGGCTCAGTGGTGGACATGATCCCTTCTGCTGGTAATGATCACACAGACATATATACAGTACATGCACTACTGTTCAAGTATGGGGTCAGTTTGAATGTTGAATGGTAGTGTAATACAGTATATATATATATATATATATATATATACACAGTGCTGCTTGAAAGTTTGTGAACCCTTTAGAATTTTCTATATTTCTGCATAAGTGTAACCCAAAAGATCATCAGATTTTCACCTGAAAGTTGACAGAGAACCCAATCAAACAACTGAGATTAAAATATATATATACTTTGTCATTTATATAAATAGGAAAATTATCTAATATTACATATCTGTGAGTGGCAAAAATATGTGAATTTCTAGGATTAGCAGTTAATTTGAAGGTGACGTTAGAGTCCATCTGTACAGAGGTGTTTTTAATCAATGGGATGACTATCAGGTGTCAGTGCGTGCCCTGTTTTATTTAAGAACAGGGATCTATCAAAGTCTGGTCATGTCTGTGGAAGTGAATCATGGCACGAACAAAGGAGATCTCTGAGGAACTCAGAAAAAGAGTTGTTGTTAATCATCAAGCTGGAAAAGGTTACAAAACAATCTCTAAAGTGTTTGGACTCCACAAATCCACAGTCAGACAGATTGTGTACAATTGGAGGAAGTTCAAGACCAATGTTAGCCTCCCCAGACGTGGTCGACCAACTAAGATCACTCCAAAAGCAAGACGTGTAATAGTCCGTGAAGTTGCAAAGGACCCTAGGGTAACTTCTAAGCAATTAAACACATTGGCTTATATTAAGTTCATAAGTCCACCATCAGGAGAACACTGAACAACCATGGTGTACATGGCAGAGTTGCAAGGAGAAAGCCACTGCTCTCCCAAAAACCACTGCTGCACATCTGCAGTTCGATAAAGACCATGTGGACAAGCCAGAGGAATACTGAAGAAATGTTTTGTGGATGGATGTGACCAAAATATAACTTTTTGGTTTAAATGAGCAGCGTTTTGTTTGGAGAAAGAAAAACACTGCATTCCAGCATAAGAAACATATCTCATCTGTGAAACATGGTGATGGTAGTATCATGGTTTGGGTCTGTTTTGCTGCATTTGGGCCAGGATGGCGTGTCATCATTGATAGAACAATGAATTCTGAATTATACCAGCTGATTTTAAAGGAGAATGTCAGGACATATGTCCGAGAACTGAATGTCAAGAGAAAAAGGGGCATGCAGCAAGACAACGACCCCAAGCACACAAGTCATTCTACCAAAAATGGTTAAAGGGGTCCTATTATGCTTTTTCACTTTTTCAACTTTAGTTAGTCTGTAATGTTGCTGTTTGAGTATAAAAAAGATCTGCAAAGTTACAAAACTCAAAGTCCACTTCAAAAGGAGATATTTTATTTAACAGAAATCACTTTTTAAAAACTACAACAAACGACTCGTTTGGCCTACAACACATTTTCTGGAATTTGTGATATCACAAATTAAGCTTTAGCGTTAGTTCTGGCAGGTCACGTGAGTCAAGCTTGCATCAGCTGATTCTCAGCTGATCATATCTACCTATAGGAATACGACACCTATCGTGGCATTTCTATATAAGCTGTATTCAGTATTATTCAGCAGCTTTTCAGCTTGCTCCGGAGCAAATTACCCTCCTCCATCCCCAGCTCCACCTTTTGTCACAGTCAGGACTTAGCTTTCTGATATTCCTTGCTAATCAGACTCCTTTATCTTGAATAAAGTGTTACACTTAAATATCATTGAGTACATTAATGATATCTGCATTGTTCTGTTCTGTTAACCCTGGGGGGTTATTATTGCTGTTCTCCCTGCTCATTCATGACAGGCTGCATGGATGGGCAGGGAGGTTTTTTGCCCAGAACAGAACCATACCGCCAAACCAAACTTTATGCTAAGTATCTATCATTTTGACGATAGTGGTCCTGACAGAAATATCGACGAATGGGATGAGACCTGGTTGAGCTGCACTAGAGAAGGCAACGAGTGTTATCACTATGTCGGAGACACGCTAGCTTTCCCAAGGCAGATGAACTTACAGTGGTTACAATCATCCGGGTTTAAATCGCACTCAAATTTATTTGATTTTGACGCAATATTTACACTGAAGCTCGCAGGTGGCTATGATGGTAAGGGGCATGACATTTCCCAACCAGGCGCCGAACGCTGCCAATCACAACACACACTGGCCCAGCTAACCAATCACAGCACATTTCGTATTTCAGAAGGCGGGCCTTCATTTGATACAGGAACTTTTCGAGCTGTTCATGCCAGACTGGGGAGAGAGGTGTTGTAATAATGTAAAATATGTGAAAAATAATGTGTTTTTCGAACAACCTATTATGAGAACCTGTTCTAGTACACCCCCAAAACAAAATCAAGACTTTGTAAAAGAGCATAATAGGACCCCTTTAAAGAAGAACAAAGTTTATGTTTTGGAATGGTCAAGCCAAAGTCCACAAAATATTTAACACAACATATTTAAAAAATATTTTATTTTATTTATTTTTACATCATGACTTTGGTCAAGAAAAATGATTTCAAATGTTGTCTCAGGCTATGATTTTATATCTAAGGTGAATTCAGGTAAACTTTTAGTCCCTCAGATGAATTTACCTAAATTCACCCTAGGTATATTTATATACCTTAAATAACTTTAATTTTTCATGTGTGTGTGTGTAGACCTGGTACGGCGGCATGCAGGTGTATTGGGTCTGAGTGCCTGCATCCTGTCCAGTCCGTATGATGTGCCCACCTGGATGCCCCAGATCCTCATGGACCTGAGTGCCCACCTCAATGACACACAGCCTATAGAGGTACAGCTCTCCTTTACTGCTGTGTGTTAGCTGTGGAGAGAAGGGGGGTTGATTGGGAATGATCAGCTGATTGCAGTCTGCAGGGGGGCCAGGGATTGACTGAGCAAAAATAAAATGTTTAAGCATTTCTGGAAGTTGAACATAAATTAACTCTTGCAACTGAATTTTGAAGAAATGGTATGGATGGCAGAGGTAGACCAGAAGCTGCAATACTGAGAATTATAGCTAAACCCAGAGCCAGTTGCTTTAAATGAGTGACTCACAAGATCTTTTATATAAATATATATATATTTTTTTTTATTATTATTATTTTTTTTATATATATATATATATTTTTTTTTTCTTTTTCTGTTTCTCTAGATGACTGTGAAGAAAACCCTGTCGGATTTCCGTCGCACTCATCATGATAACTGGCAGGAACACAAGCAGAAGTTCACAGATGACCAGCTGCTGGTGCTCACAGATCTGCTGGTCTCCCCCTGTTACTACGCGTAGGTCTGTTATAAACACACACACACAGGCTCTTTTCCAAAACCTAGTGAGCTGCTTTGCATTCTGCTGCCTAGATAGACTGTGCCTTTTAAAGCAGCATCCTAATTTGAAATGAAACCGCACAAATGACCGATTTGGAACGATCTACACACTGTAGCCAGCAACTCCAGCCAGTACATCATACAAATAGTGAATGTAATACTACAGTAAAACGGTATATTTTTATTTAACATCTTTTATATACTTTTTTTTTTTTTAATGATTAAATAATTTTCTGGGTCATTTCATTTTCTGGAATTTTGATGCCATATGATAAATGATAAAATGCCACCTATAGCATCTAACTAGATTTTGGAACGTACTGTTCACATACATGCATGTTCAGACATGTTTTATCCTCAGACTCTTCTTATGATCATTTCTTTTCTGTTTTTCAGAATGATGTCACTGTCTGGTGAAGGGGAAAGCAAAGCTAAATGAAACATGAATTTTTGTTTGCTCTGAATGTCTGGGATTGTTTTTAGAGGAAAAGTAAAATGATTTATGTAGCAATAAATGCTACATCTAGTTATAAAATAACTAGAATCTTTTACTAAACTTTTTTTTTTTTTTTTTTTTGAGGACACTTAATATTTAAGGGGAACTTTATTGCAGGTATCGCTGACCTGCATCTATAATGTTCTTGTACAGATTTAAATTTTTGCTTGTGTGAATGCAGTATGGATTGTTATAGCCCAATATAAAGCAGTTTTCTGCACTGCTTTGCATTGCATTGCATATTTATTGTAATAATAGCATTTGACAATTTTAGCAGTAATCCTTTCAAAATGTGTACACATGTAATATTGGTAAATGTTACATATGTGTATGAGGTAAAGGTACCAATTTCTTTTTGAAGTAGCACTGTACATTTCCCCATGCCTCATAGAGACAGTGTGAATTTTGAACAGTTATGTAAGCCTACATCAATTAAAGAGTGTAAGACTATATGCTTTGGTGATGCTGTTCTCCAATTGTCATGCCAATACAGCTGAACTAAACTGATAATTGAATATAATCACAATGGCAATAGCATTACAAAATAGTAGTCCTTTTTAAACCATGAGATTTTAAACTCCTGCACGTCATGCATCTTTTTCTCTATTCATATTTTTGCAGTCAGTAAATTGTTTATTATTTATTTATTCAATTGAAACGTTTAGTCTGTCTTTTCAGTTGACCTTTGCATTTAGTTTAGTGTTTGCAGTTTTTGCTTCAAGCCAGGTGTTCTCATATCCCGATATCAGAAGCTTTTTAAAGGTAGTGTCAGCAAAAGCGGAGACAGTGTCATTGAGACTTGCTATTAGCAAGCGTTGCCGAGCTTGTCAGTAGCAACAGTTGTAGACTGTACATTAATGCAGTGATTTGTTGGCAAGCTTGCATTTTAAGTGTAATTAACGCTGTCAAAATCATGTCATAAGCCAATGTGTAGTTTAACTTTGGTTGGTAAGCTATAAGACAAAGTAATGCTATGCTAATGCTTGCTTACTTTTGTTAGTTTTTCTTGATATTCCTTTTACAAATATTTGACAAAAGACAAGTGATGATTGTAATAAAGTGTGACAAAATATGCATGTAAAGTCTTTTTTTTGTGCCTCTCCCATGTTGCTTCTGACAAAGAACAATTTGTTTGATATATTATTCAAATGCGTAATATATATAAAATATTATTTAAATTCGTGTGTGTCTTGGTATGTATGTACGTGTGTGTAATCAAAAAATGATTAATATAATTGAATTGGCAGAATTGCTCGTCTCTGCTCTTATTTAAATGAACAAAATTACTATAATTAATATTAAAAAATATTATATATCTATAACAAAATTCGACTCTTTGTGCTTCCTGCGTGAGCATCCTTGCTGTCCATTCACGGGCTTCAATATGATTCCAGTGAGGCGCGCCCACTCTCCTGCGCATTACATTCACTCTGTTTTTCATTCTTATTCAGTGATACTCTTTCTCTAAATAGGATGTTTGTAACGTTCATGTACTTTGGAGATCTGTACAAATGTGGAAAACGCGGTGTTTTAAAAATGGCACACGTAGGGAATCCATGGTAAGAAAATCATAATTTTTCGGGAAGTGTAGAAAGAAAGCTGCAGGGTTATTATAGGCGGCTGTGTGTATGGACTGAACGATGTATTAGATATTTATTGGACGTTTGTTTTAATGATGCATGTGATCTATTGTATGTGTTCTTTCAAAGATTGGGGCTGAATGCGTTTTTGACACGATTTTATAGTCGGCACACATTCACCTGCAGTAATATAATTCTTAACAGAGGTGGTTAACGGATAAGAAAAGCCTTCAGATACTATGCAGATTGTTGCAGGCATGCACTCATCTTAATCGATAGATTTGTGGATGATGGGAACGCGCACGGATGAGATAAAGGCACAATAGTCATCGTGATGCTCTTGTGTTTTTAAAGAAATTCCAAAAAATGTGTGCATCAAGTGATGATAAAGATATCACATTGATTAAAATGAATCCCTCAAATGGTTCAAAAAAGCCATTAGGCCGTTGTCATAATTATTTGTTGTTCATTTATTGTATTATTATTATTACTTGTGTCCTTGCAGCAATCCAGAGGGTCTGCCATGAACCATGTGCACAATGGGAGTATTAGCTGGCTCTTGGGTGACCTAAAGGCAAGATGGGCAACACTCTGAGGCTGTGACCACTTTGCATCCCCATGTGTACCATGAACAGCACTGCCTGGCCTTTGGACCTGGCTGAGTTTGCGAAACCTCGGGGCTTCAACAGCTCCCAGAGCCAGTCTGCTTCTGTGAGTGGCTGGGCATTAATCCACACGGCTACCCTTGCCTCCTGTTCCCTCCTGTTGGTCCTCATCTTTTGTCTCGGTTCTTATGGAAACTTGGTGGTCTTCTTGTCCTTCTTCGACCCGGCGTTCCGCAAGTTCCGCACCAACTTCGACTTCATGATCCTCAACCTATCCTTCTGTGACCTGTTCATTTGCTGCGTCACTGCGCCCATGTTTGCACTGGTTCTCTTTCTGGATGCTGGAGACACTAGTGGCGGCGTGTCCCAGGGCTTCTGCTTTGCCTTCCACCTCACCAGTTCGGGCTTCATCATTATGTCCCTCGAAACGGTGGCTGTGATTGCCCTGCATCGGCTCCGCATGGTCCTGGGTCAGCAGCCCAACCGTACAGCCTCGTTCCCCTGTACTCTGGTCCTCACTGCATTGTTATGGACCACCAGTTTCACACTGGCGGTGTTGGTCACCTTACGAGCATATCCCAGGAGCTCCGGACCTTGCCTGCCCCACTTTGGTCTTACCGGCAACAAAGCCAAGGTAGTACTGTACGTATACATTGCAGACTTTGCTTTCTGTGTAGGTGTGGTGTTCATCTCATACCTCATGATCGCTCTGGCGTTGAGGAAGAACGCTCAGGTTCGGAAGTGTCCCATCATCACGGTGGACGCGACACGTCTACCTACTTCTCATCCGCCGCTCATTGCCACTGGTTTCGAGGGCATGCAGTGTACAGTGCAGGTGCCCTCGCTGTACCGCAACCAGACCTACAACAAGCTCCAACATGTCCAGACGCACTCCTTTACCAGGAGAACCAACCAGCCCCTCGTGCCTGGGGCTGCCACTGGAGCAACTTGCTGCCAGTTGGTCTCCACAGTTAACCTGGCGACAGCCAAGGATTCAAAGGCTGTGGTCACATGCATAGTCATCGTCATCTCGGTGTTGTTGTGCTGTCTACCGCTAGGTATATCTTTGGCGCAGGATATGGTGTCACCGGAGAGCAGTTTTGTCCACTACCAGTTCGAGCTCTGTGGATTTGCCCTCATCTTCCTGAAGTCTGGAATCAACCCGTTTGTGTACTCGCGCAACAGCGCAGGTCTGCGTCGCCGTGTGCTCTGCTGCCTCCAGTGGGTGACCTTGGGCTTCCTGTGCTGCAAGCACAAGACACGCCTACACGCTATGGGCAAAGGAAGTCTGGAAGTCAACCGCAACAAGTCCTCGCACCACGAGACCAACTCGGCGTACATGCTGTCGCCGAAGCCTCAGAGGAGGCTGGTGGACCAGGCTTGCGGACCCAGTCACTCCCGGGACAGCATGCCTAGTCCCTGTGCCACCACTGGACGCAAGCCCCGACCCCCGAGCACATCTACACCCATCAATACGCGCATAGAGCCCTACTACAGTATCTATAACAGCAGTCCGTCAGCAGGCCCGAGTTCCCCCAACAGCCTGCAGCGGGTCAACTCTCAAACCACAGCCTTTGCCAAAAGCTACGTGGCTATGCATTACCACACCCACCAGGAGGCGCTGCAGGACTTTGACAGCACCTCAGCTCATCAGATTCCCATCCCATCAGTCTGAGCTGTAGAACGTCATGCTACCTACTCAGCATCCAAAGTGGAGCATTTATAGTGTTTGCTTGTGGTTTGCTAGTGGTGTTTTGCTCAAGAGACAATGTGCGTCATTGAGTATCTAATAAAAAGAAAACGGGACTAGCTAATTGTCGCTTTCCCCAAGTGTTATCACTATTTTCTGGACTGAAGGATGTTCTATTTTTACATTTACATGGCATTTTCATGTAATATTCTTCACACAGACTATGTATTTGTTAAACATCCTACATTTTATATATGAACTTATTAAATGTTTTGCAAGTGTATCCTGACGTCTTTGAGACCAAATGTTTAATGTACTGCTGTAGTTTGCTTTGTCAATCATCTCTTTTAAGATATTCACTCGCCTTAAGCATTAATAAGCTAATGATGGATTTTTTTATGTAAAAGCATTAGTTTTCTGTGAACAAAACCTATAAACAAAAAGGGACGCTAGCACCACCTAGTGTAGGTAAATGGGCCCTTCTGGCCAATTCGTAATGTTTAACAAAGGCATGTTTATTTCTCCATGAGAAATATTTTCTTTGTTATAATGAATAGCGCTGTCTGAATGATTGTCTAATATATATTGTTTTAATTTTCATTGTAAATGAAAAAAATCGTATTCATTTTTGCTTTGTTTTCCAGTACAATGAGCTTGTTTATCAAAAAAATCTGAATTGTGACTTTATGCTTAAATCAAGAAACATATCTGCCAATGGGGTATGAAAAATAAACTTGTTTTCTGTTTGAATTGTTATAAAAGTATCAATTAAGTCATTTTGATATTTTTTCAGCAAACATATCAAGTAAGTGTATCTTGATTTAAGAACATTTAAATATTTGTACTGGAAAACCAGGCAAAAATACTAAGAACAATTTTTTGCAGTGTATTCATTAAGGTGGTGTATGAATCTACTGAAATGACTTGAAACATGACTCATTTTATTCAACTGAACATGTACAGGCTGAGAAAGAACCAGCATTGCAGGCAATACAAGGAAATAATCTTTGTCTTGATACATTTGTTCTTAAGAGTTAAGAGGAGCCCTTCACCAAACACATTATCGTACAGTAGTGGAAGTGGTTACATTGAAGTGAGGGTAATTCACAAATTGTGAACATAAATCAATGACCCATGATTTCCAAAAAAATTTTTTAATTACATTCACTTTCCTTTGCATATAAGACAGTGTATTTTCCCTTGCAATTTGCATTGCACAATTACTACTATCACTTTTAAAAACAATATAACCGTCTCCATATGCACACTGATACTGGCAAGCACTGAACTACCAGAAGTTGGATCAAATAAATAAATGTATATTTAAAACCGCTGACCAACTTGTGTAATCAATTGATTAACAGAACAAATTAATCATTTGATTAGATTTTTTAAGTGACTTTCCCTCAGCCAACCATCTATATGTGCCAAAGCATGAAAAAGCTGAACAAAAATATTCTTCAACAGGTTTGAGATTTGTAAATAAAACATTGAGAATTCAGTCCTAGCTGCATCTCCAGGTATAAAAGTATCATCAAATCTCCTCCGTGTTTAGTCTTCAAACAAGAGAAAGTGCTGTCAGTGAGGGACTTTCTCAAATGGTGGAGGCCTGAGGTTCAGCAAGTCCATGTTATCGCCATGTTCTATGGAGCTAGACTTTATCAGACCTTTATCTCTCCCTCTGACAATCATACTGCCTTCTTCCTCTGTATTGTTTGTTCTCCAAATTAAAATCCATTCCTCCATCTAGGCTAGCTAGGGATTGAAAGAAGTCCATTTTCATCTGCAGTGTCCAAGATCTTGCATATTACAGGCGACTCAACCTGTGGCAGAATGACAACCAGGATAAAGGTTATCCACATGAAATGATAACAATGTAGCTTTTCATAAGCCATAACATCAAAACACAATGTGCTCATCACTGGAACTATCTAAGGCTGTGCAATTATTAAAATCGAAATTGTATTCAAATCTCAGTCATTTTGTTTTCCACTCACCCCGAGAACATATTGACAGGTCTGAGGTTCCAGCATGTAAACTGTAACAGCATGAGGAGACTCTGATTCCTTACACCTGAGACAGAACAGGTAAGTGTTAGTGGCAGCATTCAAGAAACCCAAAAACCTCATAGCATCAAGAAGTTTGGGTAACTCACTTGAGCTTGACTATAACCTGTCTCGGTTTCCCTGTTAGGTCACA